TATTTCTGTTTCCTTTTCTCTGGGCTTACTTTATCATCTTAAGTTCTTATCACAATTCTACAGTCAATGAAAAGCCAATAAATATGACATATTAAAATAGGTAGACAGTTAATGTCACATTTTGGTGTAAAAACGTACGTGTGAAATGTATCAGACAAAATGGAAGTGAGAGAGGGTTTGTGGTTACACAGACACATAAAATACAAGAAATGCCTTTTTCATAGAGAAAACTTGCTTGTTAGAGATTAGAAACTGCTGATACGAACAATGAACCAAAACGCATAGCAAGTGTGAAACTGTTATAATACAAGTTAAGGAACATGGATACTGAGTATAAACTGTTATATATCAAAGCTTCGGTCCAACCAAAAAAACTCAGGACCAGGAAAGGGTACATTAAAGACTGTCCTGATGATAGATCCAGATGTGGCTGCCCACTGAGATGAATCTATAAAACACTGTAGCCATTCTAATCCCAGTCCCCATTTCATGTCACTTGGAAAAGTTGTGGCACCTAGGGACCATTCTAACAAACTACCTCCACTATTCTGCACTTTGGGGCCATTCTAACAACTTGCCTCGACTATTCTCCATGCTGGGGCCATTCACACAAACTGACTCTACTTAAAAGGCCTTCACCTTCCATTTAAACATACATTATATCAGACTATATCACAAAGGTGTGCACTTTTATTTGTGATTAAAATATATAAAATGATTTTGATAGAAGGGATCGCCCATAAAACTCAAACTGCTACTTGTACTTGGCCTTAAGGGGTAAGAGGGTCCCTGAGGCCAAGAAGAACCTTATAAGTGTGGGGCAGGGGTCAAGAGACAAGAGCAAATATAGTACTCTACCAAATTTATCAACTTGACAAGCATTCAATTTAATTGCTCATTGATAAGCCATAAATTTGTAGATCAAGATTGCCGATTGTTCTTATTGGAGACAATGATCTCTTGACATCACATCATAAATATTCAGAACTTTACCACGAGGAAATCAAGTAGAGAATATTGAGAAGATTACAAAAATTGGTTTTTCAATATTGAGATGATGGGGCAAAAACTGCACTTCCGATAGGAATTCAACCAGCTGCATTCATATACAAGTACTGCTTTGGTAATTTTGCATCTCAGAGATTGTATTGTATCAAAATAAAGTGAGGTTTTGCAATTGTATCATATTACTTACATATATATTGTATGTTGTGATCTTACTTCAATAACTGCATGCGTTATAAAGAAAACTGCACTTTGGGGTGCCACAAGGCTTCAAAATGGAGTCAGGGGATAAAAAGTTATATAGGAACAGGTCAAATCTATAAATCGGATCTGGGGCATGCATTCTGAAACATTGTTTTTCAATTAGTAAACTGTCGAAGTTGACATCAGGCATCAGAAAAAGGCTAATAAATGTCAACACAATGACTTTTGATGGAGTTTTCTGTGCCCAAATTTGCAACCATTTCCAAAAAAATTCATCATGAGTTTCTGTTTGTATAGCGTAAATGTAAGCATATTCATCTCTTCATACTCATGACATTTGGTTTACTGCTGTCTGCACAGCACTGGTAAGCAAACCAAATTGAAAAATTCCTTGGTGAAGAAAAATTCATTTTCCTCAAATAAAGAAAATAATAACTGTGAGACAGACATAAGGCCTCGCTCGGAGCTTTCACGAGGAGTTTGGTGTTTCTCACGTAGTGGTGAATCGGGTTCATCACAGGCTCCCGTCTCCCCTATTCGGACTTCAGTATTCAAGTTGATCAACCATGGCATGTAGAAAGAAATTTGATTTCAATTCATGGAGCATCCTAAAGTGCCTAATTACACAGTTTTGAAGTTGTTAAGGATTTTACTACTGAGTTCGTTCTAATTGAACATAGTCAACATCTCTAAAATTTAGGTAACCTTTTTTCTTTCAACTTTTGACCAGATGCCCCAGATTTCAGCCACAAAAGACAGAAGGCACGAGCTCTGGTATTAAGAAAAAAGTGACAAATGTCTAATTTCCTCTGCAAGTCACTTTCCAAAGTTGAATTTGAAGTGATGAATATCCCATTATGGAAACACAAGAAAGTAACCCAATTGCCTCTTGAAATAAATAAAACTTTTCTGAACAAAAGGGGACAACTGACTAACTTCCTCCAAAGAGCCTAAAGTTATTTCCAAAACAAGCAGTGAATGAGTCAGTATTACGAACCCAATGAAACAGAATGTATACAAGATCCAGCAACATACTGGCCAGACTGGCCCACCCATTCAACCCTAAATAGGAAATTCCACAGCTAGAAGTAAAGCCCTCTTTTCCTGCGAACAGGATACTTACTAGTAAGATAGGTAGCATGAAGCTTATATGCCCTACTCAAGATATGGTTCCTATATTGTATAATGGTATTGGCCAGACTCTGCCATCCTTTACAAGCTGGTCAGTCATTAGTTCTGGTCAGCCATGTCCACCATATGCAACCTGCTTCTGATTAATCCAGGATATTTGTACATATCCTGCAAAATACTATTTGTAAGTGGTATTTAACTATTGTTCTCAAGTACTGACACTCCAGTTATAAGGACAAAGTAGACCTTTTTTTATTGATGGAACAATTACCAAAAGAAAAGAAATGCTGGAAATGATCAGTTCACACTATGATGCATAATAAAGATACTTCAGTCCTGTATACTGTCAACCTCTTCCACCACATGCTCATCAAACTAAACTAAAACAGCAGCCATTTTTGCTATTGCCTTCTACTTTTTATTGTGGTTCATTCACTTGTTAATCCAATTGCAATTCTAGGAAAAGACCTAAAATATCTGTTTTAGCAGGGCATCAATCATTTCTTTCCCCATATGAAATGGAAACACCAAACACCCTAAACTCAACTCAATACTTAATCAGACTTGAAAAGAAATGAAATTAAACCCATTAAGCAATTAGAGAAATTGAAATAATTCACACCATTAAACCAGTGCAACACCAGACAGTCTATAGGCAAAGCCTGTCAAATGTCAGGAGCTTTCAAGCTTGGATGCCATCTTGTATACAGTTTACAGTGTAAATGCATTGACCTAGCTCTGGGTTTTCAACAGCTCCCATCTGCAGCTAACACTTCTCTAAATCAAGCATAACACCATAATGATGTTCATACCACCCAAGATTTCATATGAAGCAAGAAACGGTGGCCTCAAAAATTTAGAGGATATTTTGAAATACTGATATCACGTACTGGGCTAAATACCACAGAACTGTAAATAACAAATACCAAAAATTAATCACAATTTTAAACCCATGCCTTGTCTTAATGCCTGTGATTTTATATGCATGTCAAAGACGATCCTACACTTCTTCGCCCCACCCCATCCAAACTCCCACTTAACTCCAGTATATTACCTACATTCCACACTAATTTTAGAAAATTAATTACCAACAAGATTCTGTTGCAGTTTGGAAACTCTGGAAATGACAGTAATCCTGAGCAGTATGGTTAGATTACTCAAACTGAAGAACTGAGATAGCCAAAAGAAATGTTTGAGATCAAATTCTCACCTTTTTCACATTATCTTAAATCCATTATAAGACATTCAATTTAGATTTACCTTTAATACCACCAGTTACAAAATGTTTCTATGGCTACACTTATAGGCAAGTTGAGATGACAAACAGTGCATTACATCTCTCCAAAACTTGTGATCAACATTTTTGTGGATGGGACAACAGATAGATATAGAATGGCTTCTTTAAATTAAGAAATCATAATTATGTGGGCTACTGGGATACAATGCCTTATTCCAGCCCTCAAAACTTGATTATTAACGGATAAAACACACCCGTGGTAGGGAATTCCTTGCATTTTTCAATGCTTGATCTCTCTTTTACTCCTTTTAAAACAAAAGTTCTTCCCATTCACAGAATGCCTAATAGATTAATTTTCATATGTAAGAAAATATTGAATTGAAATACTGAACTATGTACCTTTTAAAATTTTAATCCACTGAAATAAAAACCAAGATGGATGTAATTGCATACATAATTACGGTTCATGCTATGGGATAATAAAAATATTGATTCATTCTTTGTATATATATAAAAAAACAGTTATGTTAGTTTGACAATGTAAAATAAAAAATAAAATAAAGAAAATAATCAAAATGTTTTCTATTCCAATATAATTGTGCTGAGGTAAAATATTTTCACCCATTGGTGATACATCCTTGAAAACAACCCACAGATAAAATACCTTTCCCCCCTCATGGGTTATTATCTCCCATATAACTGTCCATGCTGTTCAGAAGAGATGCTCTGTATCCAAACACATCCCCCACCACAGGCAATGGAGTCTAAACAATAGGACACTGTTGTATCCATTCAAACTCCCATTGTTTGAGATAAGGCAGACACTGGCTTCTGTGCTGCAGCCTGAAAGGAAATCTGAGATTCCTGGTGCTAAAGAAAAGTTGATCTAACTCTCTTGTGCAAACAAATATTGATGGCTTAGGCTGCTGGCCAGTTTGTTTGTAATGGACAATCAAAATTCATCACTTATAATACTACAGCTCATTCATAAAATAAATCTTGGTGCTTTCCCATATCATAGCATTCATCCTCTCTCTCTCTCTCTCTCTCTCTCTCCCTCTCTCTCCATCTCTCTCTCTCAATACAATACTTATACACATTTCCATGTTGCTGATATTTCCTTAAAAATTCATAGCAAGTCTTAAATATTTACGGGATGAATAATTTCATACAATAAACTTATGATGTCTGGTTATCTGAAGACTAAATAAAACTGTATGACATGAGTAAGAAAATATTCTTTCTAAAAAATAAAACAAATTTTCAATTTAATTAGAAAATCAACTTAATATTTTTATAATGCATTAGAATGTTATAAAGTACAATTGAAAATTGCAATCTAATATCACTACAAATTTCAAGAATTCATGAATGCATAAGGGATAAATAGTGAGTGCACTGGGTTTAAAGGGTTAACACTTACCGCTGAGACTGTGACCGCGCAGAGCAGCAACGTCAGCACAGCACACCTGAAAACGCCAATACCAAAATGAGTGATACTCTGAAACTTCTGTGAACACCGTATACATTGAGCTGCAAATTTCGAGTCAATTTCATTTAAAAAATGAACTCATACTCACCAAACGTAATTTTTCCAAAGCAAGCTATATGAATTGTATGAAATTACTCTAGTTGGTCTGTTTTTCCGAGGTTTAAGCAGAGGTTGGTGCATGCTGCAACGGCAAGACTTCTCAGGGGTTTCGTTCATTTTGCTCCCTTCCTGCCGATGATTTCTCTCGAACCAAATCGTTCACAAATCAAAAACCGGTCGGCCCGGCAAGTTCTTTCCTTCCTGATGTAATCCTCACTTATCTTTTCTTCATTGAATCAATAATTCCTTCACCATTGGGAAAAGTATGAGAAGTTTTCCCAGTTCTTCAAACTCCTTGCCAGACTGCTTCTCGTCTGCGGGGTTGACCTCGCGAGTGGGCGGGGCTTGAGGTTTGATTGACGTCCCGTCGGTTAGGTAAGGAGACTCGTCTGTACAGCACAGTAAACGATTGTCATCTACTCATATTTGTGTATAGGGACTTTTAACACATATGGAGCCCAAGCAATAAAAAGGGATTTGTGGATTTCCGCGTCTTTATTGTTCGTTGTGTCATTATTTACTCTTTGGTTAAGTTGAGTTACACAAATATTGCGTGTACTGATGTTGCTGGCGTTTTAACTTCCTCTGGTTTTACTTTAGTGTGGTTTGACAAAAATAATATTAGCACAACAATACAAGTCTGGTGTTCTACTTTAATTCAAACGCTCTTTATTATTAAAATATTTTCTGCCAGAAAAAGAGATGAAAAGAAAACATGCATATTACAAATACCGGTATGATCAGTATAGCTATTGTGTCGTTTAGGCCCTATCGTCATATTCTGATTAAAATATTTGTCTTATGTACCTACGCATTAATCTGGTAAAAATCTGCAAAAACTCAAATGAATGTTACCACTAATGCAGCACCTCAGATTTATTACATTTTAAAATAACAACAACAACAAAATTACTTATAGACGTTGTCTGGGTATAAGCTAGTAGGCCTATATTAAAATTAGGTCCCAACTTCCTATGTTGGATAATAGCTTTTCAAAATAGGAAAAGAACTACAAGGTATGGCAAATATGCTCTTTTATTTGAGACGAAGCTTTTACTAGGTCTTTTAAAACAAGCGGAATTACAGAATGAGAACGCAGTCTTTTGTGGAGGGAATACCAAAATGAAGGGAAAAAATAAAAAGACGGGGAAAGAATTACTTTTGGCATTTCCTCTCAGACAATGAGGCTTCTGTCGACTGGAACGTTTGCGTAGGTCCGGAGTTCACTAAGGTCTCTTTTATTTCCAGTCTCCCACTCTCCCAGGCTAACTTGCCTGTGTATATTCCTTACTGCAGCCGTCAATCAGGGACTAAGTGGCTGCCGCAAGTTTCCTGTGGGTTAGCGGTAAGTAGTGCGATGCGCGGCGGACGGATACAAGGCCCCGCCTTCCCAGCTCATCAACATGTGCGATATGCCAAGATGGTGACCGAGAGAAGAAAGATGTTGGAAATGGCTTGAAATTCACCGACGATTTCTGCTTCATCTTTAGGCTATGCATGAACGCTGTTTAGGGAAAGGAAAAGGAGATTATAAACTGTTGGTTGTATATTATAGACTGGCAAGATGGGGAGCTGGTTTGGAGTAAACTGTAGAGAATTTCTGTATTTATTCCTGATCGTTTTGATCGTCGTGGATCTGGCAGTAGCGGCGGTGAGTGCTTTTGACTTGATTCAAGCTTATTGTAAGAGCTTTACTTTGAGTTGGTGCCCTTAATCGTTTGCTTCATCCAGAATAATATCAGGAAAGTGTTTCCTTTATTTAGTGGAGTTTGCTGATCGTAAAATTACACGTTCGTGAAATGCTGCAAGAGAAACTGCCGGCAGAAAAGTATAGGCAGTTTCGGATGCAGTTGTGCTCAACATACTAGCGGTATAGGCGGGAGTGACGTAAATCAACCTCGCCCGCTCACTTTTATTTACATTTTTAGAAAGGGAACTGGTCTATCGTTTTTCATTGTAGTAAACTGTAGGTTAACTAAGGATGGGTTATTAGAAAAAGTTTTAATAATAAATAATAATAATAATAAATAGTAATAATTAATATTTATCATGAATGAGTGATTTCAAAAGAATTAGTATTATAAAATGAGATAAACTAAATATAGTACTTCCAGAATTTTCCCATATTTTCCATTGGAGTGCCCTTCCTCCTCCCCCCCCCCCCAAGCAGGGGAAGCTTATTTTTGTCAATTTTTAAGACTGCCTTTATTTTTAGAAATGTTATTTTTTTAGATATTTTATTTTAACATACCAATGTGTAAGTTAACATACAGAAAGCAAACCAAAGAAGCCCTGGTGAAGCCATGTCCCGTTGATTCTTCATTTGTTTAACATGTCAAAGATCCAGAATCACCCTGTGCATCTGTAGGGCTTCTTCCTCATATGAAAATTTGCAATATATCTTTTTACTTTTTTAAGACTTTTTTGTAAGAATTCAGATTTTGTATTTTGATAAATTAATAAATTTACCATGGAACAAAAATAAGGCTTCGTTCACATGCAATGTCACGCCGCGTAATTACTGGCAGCGCGAGCCAGTTACTTATAGTAACTTATAGTAACTGGCTCGCGCTGCCAGTAATTACGCNCCTCCTCCCCCCCCCCCCAAGCAGGGGAAGCTTATTTTTGTCAATTTTTAAGACTGCCTTTATTTTTAGAAATGTTATTTTTTTAGATATTTTATTTTAACATACCAATGTGTAAGTTAACATACAGAAAGCAAACCAAAGAAGCCCTGGTGAAGCCATGTCCCTTTGATTCTTCATTTGTTTTACATGTCAAAGATCCAGAATCACCCTGTGCACTTATAGTAACTTATAGTAACTGGCTCGCGCTGCCAGTAATTACGCCGCGGGATATTCAGGCCACAGACCGTGATCATAAGACATACCGCAAATAGAAAATAGAATTTAGAAAATAGACATTGCATGTGAACGAAGCCTAAGTAAATAATAGTTATTATTTAGTAAATAAATAAGAAAGTCAGATTAACATATTGAAGTGTCTGAGCCCTTTCTTTACCGAGGGATAAAATATGTTATAATGCAGTGAGTGATTCACTTGGAATACCTTTAAGACCTTCTCTACTAGGTTAGCAAAGGGTTAAACTGGCTTGAAATAAGATATGCTTTACATTTCACAGAAACATACTTTAAAAAAACTATAACAGCTTATTTTTCGTCTCAAATGATATTTGTAAGTGGTAAAACAAGACTATTTTAATTAACATAAAACTTTGAAAAAAAATGTTAATTGAAAAATTTCTTCAGAACTAGCAAGAGCCAAGCACATATCGCTGTTATGTTAACTGTAGTCAGACTGCATCTGTGTTAACTGTAGTCAGACTGCATCTGTGGTTTGATGACATCATGATTTTTAAAAGAAACAATCCATGACCTCTTATTATGGAAAAGTGTGTAAGCTGCAGAAGGTTTTGATAAAACTCTGGTGTGAACCCAGCAAACTGAGTAGATACCAATGTGGCTCAGGTAGATAGATCTCTTCATGGCAAAGATATTTCCTCACTAGATGGAGGCCGCCATGACTAAATTTGGCCAGAGTGGTCAAAAAAGAAGTCCCTGAAGTATAATTGTGGTAAACGAAAGAAACAAATCTGATCTGAATAAAAACTTAACTGAGAAGTTGAATTTTGGATGGGATTCTAGATTATTGCCAGTTTTTTCTTTCAGAATTTGTACCCCAAGACTGGGAATTTTACATAACTTCCCATTTTGTAATTCCAATGAAAAAGACAAAAATAAGTCCACCTGTTGTTTCAGGGGATTGCATAATTACACAGTATAGAAGGATTTGGGGAAGAAAAGTCGTCTCAGATGACGGATGTTCATTTATTTGCAGAACTGATAACAGACATGGAAAGCTTATACCTACAGAACTTGGTTTGTAGGAGGGGGGCAAAGGTCAACTTTTATTTATTTATTTTACACCCACCATGTTAAGTGAAGTATACAATATTTTTTCCACAGGATTGGCTTTTTCTCACCTTTTTGTTAAAATAAGTTATTATACAACTCCAGCCCTCACCCCAAGATCTGTCAAACACTACACTCATTCTTAGTGGCAGTTTTCTAATGGAGGAAAAATAAATTTAAAAAGAATACTCTTAAGATCTATGAATATCCCCCTTTTTAAAATTGCATAGAATAAGACTTATTCCAGTTTTGTGGATTTATATGCAGGAAGCTAATTTGTACCATGATGGGCTAATAAGAGGAGATAATATCAAAACATACAAAAGGAAGCAAGGCAATAACTTACACAGTTAGTAACCCCCCTCGGTAATCCTCTTTTAATGAGGATGTTTATGTTAAAGTTTGTTTATCTAGTGAGTTACCTGTCCTCTCAATTCTCTGGTGTCAGGAAATTAACTGCCCGTGATAATTAGTCCTTTGTGGTAGTATCAATAGGTATGAATAAGTGTGAAAGTTTTGACCACATCTTGATATTTGTACAAACAATGTGACATATGTCTTCCCTGTATACAATAGGCATCCTTTACAATGATATAACCTAGGAAAATAAACAATGATTGTGATTTTAAAGCTGGTCACTGTTTTCTGCACATTTAAGCGAACAAAGATTTTTGTTTATTTTCATTTCAGATATATTATGTGATTTTTTTTTTGTCTTTTTTATATTTGTGTGTATTTATAATTATTTAAATCTATGATACCTATATAATTATTGTTTTGAAATATATCTTTCTTATTCCAGCCTCAGTGCACTGGTTGTTCAGACACATGTATTTGTAAAGGAACAAAAGGACAAAAGGTAAGAGACTGGTTGAGAGAGAGAGAGAGAGAGAGAGAGAGAGGAGCAAGTGATTATGAGAAATAGAAGAGATGGAGAGAGGCAAGTGATAAGGAGAGAGAGAGAGTTAACCAAACTTCCATCCTTTCCAATCCTCTGATTTTGCATGTGTCTGGTCAGCGTTAAATGGTCACACAAATGTCAGTTACACAGGACAGACCAGCCAAATGCATTCTGGGGGCACATTAATATTTTGGAGTATGAAACTCTGGCTTACTTTGATCTGCACATTTTATATACAAATATTGTAGTACTACAACAGTGTCTTGGAGCAGTTCTGTACAGTTTCTAAACAAAAAATACTCTGTAGCAAATATAGAGCAGCAGGCAGGTTAGTTTCTAAACAAGGAAGGCACTACACAAATATAGCCTAATGAACCCTAGCAATTTGTGACCCCTAGGTTTCCAACTTGGCAGTAATCAAAACTTGCAACTTGAACTGAATTTGTGAATGGTGTTGCTATTTTTAAAGTAATTATCTCCCCTTTGAAATCTTTTACCAAACTGTTTTTCTTGTAATTTGTCAGAGATATACAAGATTGAAATGAAACAAATTACAAAGTGGTATGTGATTTGGTTGTTTTACTGTTTGGGCTAAGCATACCTCAGACTATTAAGTTCATAACACACACATTCTGGGCTCTTTTTATAGTAAACAAAATGCCAGATATCATAGAGTTTGAGAAAAAAGAATTTTTGAAATATTTGGATGGAGCCAAATGTCTTTGACAATAGTTCAGAGGTTAGTAGGTAATATCAATTGCCAAATGTGTTAGGTGTGCTGAAAGTTGTGAGGCATGACAGGAAATGTGAGAGAATGCTCAAAGTGTGGTTGATGTGATAGAAATCAAAATTGTGTTAGGTGTGACAATTTGAATTGCACATGCTAGACTATTTATGTTATTTTCTAGGGTGAGGTGGGGATCCCAGGCCTGAGAGGTTCACAGGGATTGCCAGGAATCATGGGACCTGAGGGGCGACCAGGACCCCGGGGAATGAGAGGAGACCCAGGAGAAGATGGAGCCATGGGACCCAAGGGATTAAGGGTCAGTGACTGTTATAACTGTAATTAGCGTACAGTTTCACATGTTAAATAAGAAATGATTCCCAGGTTTAGAAATATGGTAATGAAATATTGTAAAAAATTCCTTAAAAAGGCAATTTTGTACAACAAATTTTTCACTTGGATTTTCTATGATTTGAAGAGATTCTGTTCATTTTTTTTTTGTTTGTTTGTTTATTGTAGTAGTATCCCACAACATTTAAAGAAATTAGTGATGAATTATATTTACCTAAATAATGCCTAAAATCAATGTTTCCAACATTCCAAAAAGAAAGTTGGATATATGTTATGAAATTTAATTGTGAATGATTGAAAATGGCAAATGTGAAAAAATGAGGTCATTTTCAAATGTAAAAAATTGAGGTAATAAAATATACTAAGTGTTCAATTTTTCGACTTGAATTACCCTGTTTAGCAGACATGTTTATTACAATTATTAACACCCAGTCAAAAATTAATATTTTTCCAGGGAGACATGGGTATGCCAGGATTCACTGGTGTTCCAGGAACTCCGGTAAGTGAACACCAAATTCTCAGTTTCCAGGATTGTGAAGACTGCAGCGATAATACATATATTCTAGCCACTTGTTGTGATGTGTCTAACTGGGTGGCAGCTTTCCCCACTGTTGTTATTTATTGGTATAGCAAAGGTTCAAGTCTGAAACTTACTCTTACATGTGGATTTGATGACGAACTGTGTGAGGATCTGATGTGAAAATATGTATGTGAAATTTGGAATTGAGTACATTACTTTGTTAATGATATCAGATAGCATTTTGGTCACAGACTGATTAATTATTTAGACAGAAGATGTAAGATTGTCATTGTGATGTAAAAGTGAATATCTCAAAAAATGTTTCTGACGAAAATGTAATCTTTCTCTAAATCTGATTATGATTAACATCAGTTCTAAAATATTTATACTCACCCCACAAATAAGTTAACCTTGTTTATGCCCTTTCTGTCACTCAGCTATTAACGTCACATTTGATAATTACTGAAAGAATTAAAGGTGCTTCACCTTATTAATTAAAATTAACTAAGATTAGTCACTTAATAGACTTTGTGAGTGAACAAAGATAGCCTGCCTCCCACCCAATTAAATTGATCAATGTCTCAATGACACACCTACCCCATGGACATCATTAATGACACAGAACCCTCCCAAGTCATTTGTTTTACAAGTCATAAAGAGACTAAATAGATATAGAAAGATGGCAATAAAAGTGAACTGCAAGATCTCAAAGAGGAGATAAAACCTCTGAAAGTGGCAGAGCATTGCCTTGGGAGTGCCTTATGAAGAGAGAGAAGGAATGCTATCTCCCCTTTTTGGTGTGAAGTACAGCCACTTAAGTAGTCCAGGATAATTCCAGATTTAAACATGTCAGTATCAATTAGGGCAGGAGTTTCAGCCCACAGACAGCTGATCTGGTTCACTGAGTAGAATGCCTTTAATGCTTGCCACTTTCCAAGGGCATGGTTTAGACAGTGCTGTTTGGATCAGCCTGTGTATGCACCTAGTGCGCTTCATCTCCCTGTGAAGGTAAAATACACAGAAATAAACTTAAGCATTGCACTGCAAACAGCTGTGATAAGTTTTTGGTTTTGTGTAAACAGAACTGGATTTAGAATTTTGCCACCTGATGTTATCTGGCTGAGCAACTGGACCCAAGAAACTTTGAAAGATTCTCAGAAAATAATCACAAAAAGGAAGACAAATTTCAGTCTCATCCATGGATTTTAAGAGAAAATACCCAAGGAATCTTGGTATGTTCAAGTACATGTAACACCACTTTTATAGACATGTACAATTTTAAGTATACAAATTTTAAAATATTTTACTTTTTAATACAAGATTCCTTATAAACCACTTCTCATTTTATTTAAGCATGTTCATGTTTTGATTCCCTCTTCTAGTTTGTGTTCTAAAGGAGAGTCTGATATAATGTGTGAGCAGTATTAACCCGGGCTACCTTTGACTTCTGTAGAAGTTTGACCTTAGCATATCATGCTTTGCCTTAAACAGGTGCTTGCTGATACAGTAACAAGCCCCCTCACCCCATTCCCACCTCACCTAGATTCTACTCTTCACCAAAGGCCAACTGGATGACTTTTGTCCTGCAAAATGTCACAATACAGCCCAGAAATAACACTACAGAGAAATAGCCACAAAAATATTTTGTTTATCTTGCAAAAATTTTTTTCCATGCCCCTGAAAGAGTGTGTACACCTAAATTCCAATGAGGCTGTAGAGAGAGTGGAGGAAGCAATGTGTTTGATGTGGTCTGGTGGTAATGTGTGGGGTGGTCCAGGGTTAATTGTTCCCTGATGTAGCCCAGGATCACTGCTCTGGTTCCAAAGGTCAGTTGAGACTCATCTCTATGGCCCTGTTCAGAACAGATGAGCTGCGAGACTAATTGATCTGCAGACTTAATATGGCCGGCCCCACTTAAAAGCAGTGCCACCTAATCCCCTGATGCTCTCCCCACCTCCCACATCTCAGAGCCGAGAATTAATAGGTAAGCTCCTGCAGGGATGGCGAGTACAGATGTGGGAAGACCACAAGGTGCATTTCTTTTAAGTGGGTCAGCCATATTTGATCTGTGGATCTGTTAGGCTGCAGATCAGATTGTTCTGAAAGCTCCCTATATATATCAGTGCTCTACCAACCTCTAAGGCTGTATTCCCAGACCTTTTAGATCGATCTATCCCCGCGGGGAGTCTCACTAGATTACTGTCAGATAATCTGGCTTAAATGTCCGTCCCGCCTACTACAAGCGTGTCCGCCCAGCTGACAACTATTTAGCGTGAACCCCCAGGGAGTTAGGTTGATCTAAAGTAGATCGATCTAATCTCTGGAAATGGGGTCTAAAACACAGGGTGTAATGAACCACCCACCCCCATCCCCAGTCTATACTTTCCAAGTTTTAAATTTGTTAGGTATATTGATACATAAAATGGCTGAAAGGATCTTGTAAATAACAGAAAACAGAGTTAGTCAAATGGAATGGATCCATAGAAATTGGATCACAGACAAAGGCAAGTTTTGGTTTATGATATGTTAACTGATATATTTTGAAAGGAAGAACCTGCAGGAAATTTCGATGTCATGACTTCATCAGGAAAAGTATTCAAACCACTTGAGAGATCATCTAATTTTATGGCATTAGGGTCTCTAAACCTGGTGCCAGTAATAAGAATTCTGTTTGTGTGTTGTGTAACTGCAATGTGTCTGTCAGCTGCGAGACAGTTTCTATGGCCTCATCCATTCATGATACCCAGATGATTGGCAACAGATGAGCTGCAAATAGATTCCAGAAATTAAACTGGAATGTTTTTCTAAAATTACGCAATAGTTAGCCTGGAGCTTTTGCTTTATGTTGACATTTGAGTTGAGGTTTGTTTCTACATTTCAAATTGATAAAGATGGACTTTGGACAGGAACTGAAGTCATCGGCTGAAATTTGAAAAAATGAATATCATGAATCACCATTAACTTTTCCTCCAATTTTTGCACTAAATAAAATCTGGTTTATTTTTTTAGAATGTTTTTGTATTGGCATTCCAAAAACTTCACTAAATTCAAAACCTGAGCCATGAACAATTAGCAGAAAATGATTTTTGAATATTATTTTTTTCAGGGTCTGCAAGGTTTGGATGGACCAGTAGGAGAGCCGGGTTATCCAGGGTGCAATGGAACCAAGGTAAGGGATGAGTTTTGCTATCACTACAGCAGTCAAAATTATTACCCCCTAGCTGTTCAAGGGGGTTGGGCAGGGGCGGATCCAGAGTTATTTTTGAAAGTCTTTCAAATATTCTTTGTTGATCAGTCCTCCAATTTTGACTGTCTTCAGACAGAAAAAATTAGATTCCCGTCAGTGTAGCTTAAAGTATTCTGACTGTCTTTTGAAAGACCAAGACCACAGCCTCTGTCCGCCCCTGCTGGGTATCAGGCAATTAAGCTGATTACACTGACTGCACTTTAGTGAGAATCTCCGTAGAGCTGGATCGATCCAGCTAGTCTGATGTCTGCAACGGGTTTTCCCTAAAAATCTATTTCTTGAAGCCTTTGCTTACTACCAAATTCATCAAATTGGAGTTCAGTGGCTGAAACTGTTTTTTTTTTTAAATTTATTTATTGGTGAATATATTGAACAAAACTGTTTAAACTTTTCTCAGGTAACAAAGTTTTAATGATTTTACCCTATTGGGGTTGTTAGTCAAAATTCAAGGTCCTCTTGAGGAAGTCTTGTTCACAACTTTTCAGCTTATGAGCTCTAAATGATGTTTGGAATTTGAAATACCTTTTGCGCACTCCACGAAGTGTAAGTGTATGTTTATCGTGTATGTTTATCCCTATGTAGGATGACGATCTGGATATTGCCTTTGTGGAATATAAACCTACTGTGCCACACAGGCACAAACACGCCCACTCTCTCTCTCTCTCTCTCTCTCTCTCTCTCTCTCTCTCTCTCTCTCTCTCACACACACACACACACACACACACATACACACACTGTGCCACCCACACCCCTGTATGAAATATAAAAAGAAATGAGCCTCCTTTCAGAATCACAAGCACAAGTGCCGTGTGTGGGTGGTTAACTTTGAGTCTCCAGAAAATTGAACACAAAAGCTCAGCTGTTATGCCATGTTTGATGTATTAGCTGTTTTGTTGTGTGCCCCTTAGGCCAAGGTTTTATTCCTAGTACAGTTCTCACACATGGTTCCTTAAAATTTGAGTTTTTTCACTGAAGTGTTGCCAAAGAAATGGACGCGTTTTTATCAAATCTTGCCATGTTTTCCAAGAGCCACTTCCCCAATTGTCTCTGGTGTTAGTTAACACCCATGAACACATTGGACAGTGAAAGAAATAACATGGTCATCTTTTATTGTTTGTGTAGTGGACATTCTTTTAAAAATTAAACTAAGATTTGTTTTAAAAAAATGCATTCTGTATGAAAGAATTTGACTTGATGGATATGAAAGATTTTGAAAAGTTTGATAAAATTATGCCTTTCCAATCAAACTAAAATGTTCAGTGTCAGAAATAAGTTTTTTTTATGTGCATAATGTTTTTTTGAAGATAACCATAAGTGAAATAAGTATACCAGTGTGCTGCTTGATGCTGCTGGTGACACCTGGTGGTAAGATTCAGCATTAAGGTACACTTGAAACCCATGATATGTGAGCACAGAGCTCTTAAAAAAACAGTCTGAGCATCCAGTCAAGTCATGTGTTTACTCAGTCTAGCTCAGTGCAAACACACAAAGAACATGTTTTCTGCAGAACAGTTCTTCAATTGAAACAATTGTGTTTTTATAATTAATTCCGTTCTGAGAATGCTTCTGTTTTATGAAGAACATGAACTGCATTGGCGCAATCACTGGGTCTGACCTTAAGAAAGAGAAAAAAATGGAAAAAGAAAAGAAATATTGCTGCTGGATAAATACAGTGTGCTTTTGTAATTAATTTAATGTAAAATTAAAATCATGAAATTACATAGTATTAAATTATAACATATGTAAAAAAATATCTTTTTTTAATAGTTACCTTTTGTTATAGAAATCCCTGAGCCTTCAGAAAAGCCAGTTATAAAAATAACTTTAATTTGGAGCATTTTTGGCATTTTTAGGAAAATCTGACCTTCCTAACATACATTGATAAAGTTGACCCAGAAGAATATGGTGATTTGAACTTGATAGAATGATAGTTGTTAAGAAATTATAAAAAATCACGGAGGACTACAGGGGGTTAGGACTATTGTTATTTAAGGTCTTTTTACATCAAGCATTATATCAAATTCTTCCATCTTAAGCTGTATCTCTTTAGAGGTTTTACTAAGAAATTACCCCGAAAAGGATAAATTTGCTTTTGCAAGGTCACCATATTTGTACCAAACGAAATTGATTTACTGTGTTGACTTGGAGGGCTCTGTTTAGGTGATTCTCCTACTAAGTAGCTATGCTATTTTAAAAGCTTAAAAGCTGTCAATCTAAAAAAATACACCACTGTAGTTGGAATGCCTCAATATAATGTTCAATGTAAAAAGACCTAAATTCATTGTGGCAAAATCCTGCCCGTGGCCCCTTTACACATATTGCTTTGACAAGTTTTGATAAATGTAAGGGTTAGTTAAGATGAAACATTAAGTTTGAAAATCATGAAACTATTTATCAAAAAATATTCCATCAAGAGCCGTCAGAGGACACTTGCACAAACCTCAGATAGTCAAAGACTTGACACCTTAAATCATGTTGCCATGACAACACCATGGCAACTCAAACATTTGAACACACAAGGTGCCATATATCAGGTAGCATGGGAGCTGGGGAAGGAATTATCATCACCTTATGTGTGAAGTGGCACAGGACCTTGTGTTAAGGTCAGAGTTAATCAGGCTAAATATTATTGTGAACAATGTATTTGCCACTGACTTCACACACATTAGTGGTTTAAGGGTGGAAACTGGCGTTCACATGTTTACGAGTTGATGGTTTGTGTGTGGGAATGGGTACAGGGGATAAATACTTTGCTAATTTCTTTTCTAGGGTGTGATGACGGATTGGTTTAAATCATTTAGTAATCTTAGGTAATGATGTATATATCAGACTGAAGGAGAACAGTTTAAGCAAATGGTGGTTTCAGTCTGTTTATCATAGCCACTGAAACTGCATCTCATTGCAGATACAGGGTGAACTTATTGCCAGCTTTTAGGTCTCATTTCCAATGAAACTTTTATTCTGCATAGATAAATTCAACTCCCTGGGGGCTTTTTTTGAATGCAATCAAATTAACAGATTTACATGCCTCCCCTTGAGTAGAATGTAGAAAAAGCTGGTGATAAAGTAAGTATGTTGGAAGCAAGAGGAGACATGTTAGTCTGTTAATTTGATTGCATTCAGCTACAGTCCCCCCCCCCCCTTTCCCTGGGAGTTGGATTATTAACCTACACAAATGAGAATGAGCCCTTAATCTGAACCTCCTGTCCTGTTCTGGAAAAGTAAAAAAAAATTAAATGAAAGTCTTCTCCCTGCCCTATGTTTATACTGTGTGCAAATGCCTCAGCCATTAGCTGTGTTTTGAAGTGTAAATTGTTTTGATAGACCAGAATAACCTGGTCCTCTGGAGAACCACAAGTGGACCACTGAGGGGTTAACATCCCACACAGATGGCCATCAAGTTTCTAATATTAAAGTTGTCAACTACTTCAATACCAGATATCCTCCAGAAAGTTAGCTTTAACAACCTCCTTATTTCTCTTCTTTCCCTGGTTAATTTCATCCTTAATACTAAAGATTTTATGTATTTGTATTAAAAATGAAAAAGTAATTTGAATGTATTGATGATAATGATTTGTATAAAGAGAGGGTAATTTTTTTTTCACCTTTATTTTAGAGAACACTAAGCGAACTTCATTTCTACATAAAACATATTGTAATATTTCCTCCATTATTTCAGGGAGAGCCAGGTCTGCCAGGGTTTAAAGGTCAGCCAGGCCAGCAGGGTCCCAGGGGTATACCAGGAGTGGATGGACCAAAGGTGAGGACTCATTGATGGATGTACTTGGTTAAGATTGTGATAGAGAAGACTGATTGTGTTGGGATGAGCTGGAACACCCAGACACAATCAGATGTGCCTTGTGTGCATCTGTTGCTTGTTAATCTTTTCATTGATGATTTTAGATTGAGTTTTCAGTTGGACATTTTACTTCCAAAGACAAGAATTTATTAGTGTCTCTTTTAAGTATTTTCAATCTAGCACAACAATTTATTTATGTCTGTTTTAAGCATTTACAATCCAGCACTTTACATTTAGTAATGTAATATATAAATAATGCAGAATATATGCTTCATAATGAATAAAGTAAAACTGTTCATTCTCTTTTATTTTCATTTAACACTGAACAAAAGGATGATAAGGAGCCTGTATTATTATTATTATTATTATTATTATTATTAGGGAGAGCAAGGAGAGGTGACAATCCTGGGCACAGGGCAGGGACTCCGGGGTGACAGAGGAGTAGACGGAAAACCAGGACAGAGGGTGAGAAAATGCACATGCGTACGCAAGCACACACGTGTATGCTTACACAATTATCCACATACACACATACGCTGATACGAAATGTAAAGGAGCATGAACAGAGAGAGAGAGAGAGATTGCTCGCTTTTGGATGTGTTCACCAACTCTTAATCTGTAATTTATTCTCAACAAGTGGTTGTGATTATGTTCCAGGGACTGCCTGGTATTCCTGGATACAATGGAGAGAAGGGACCCAGAGGAGAGGCAGGTTTTCAGGTAAGGATGCCAAAGGTGAACGGAGGCCATCTTCATGTCTGAATGAAGTAGTGAACTGGAAGTGGCAAATCGTGTTCCACAATTTAGATTGGAGTTTTAAAAACATCTAACTTATTTACTAATCATGTAGTATTTTGTACCATATTTACAATGTACCAGATTTATAAAATTGTGTTTATTTCAAATTTTGCTGCCAGTTGGAGAAAGGTATTTGTCATGCTGTATAGATATATACTTTTGTATGGGTGGTTGTGTAGCATTATTTTTAAGTTAAAAGACTCTGAAACAAAATTTAAATGTGACTGGTCTACAGTTTATCGTGTTTCCTTTCTTATTATAGAAAATTGCCATTTAATACATCTGGATTAAGATAAAGGTTTTGATTTTTTTTCTGTTTGGGTAGAAATTATTATGATTTTGGTACACATTTGAACATAAAAATATGCATATATGTTATGGTAATTAGAGTTAGAATCATGCATGAAGATATTTTATTAACTTTTCTTTTATTTATGACAAACGTTAAATCTGAAAAAGATACAACAGTTTGAAATTCAGTTTGTGATGAATTCCCATATTTTCTGTATCACACAGGGGCCACCTGGTGTACCAGGAGAGTATGGTCCAAAAGGAATTATGGGAAAAGATGGGGAAGGAATAGATGGAGATCCGGTAGGAATATGACATGAGTGTGTGAATGTGTGTGTGTGTATATATATGCTTGTAAGAGTGTGATAAGTAGAACTTCCGTATAAAGCATAATCATTTTAGATTTCTGGTCAGTTTTACACATAGTCATAATTGTGGTCATTGTTTTTAATTTTAAAGTTCAAATAGATTTTTTTTTGAAGTTACAAATTTTATCCAAAATGTCTTTGCAACCACACGTGCTTGTACACACACACACACACACACACACACACACACACACACACACACCAAAACAATCTTCCAATATTAGTTAACATCCTCAAGATCACTAGAGGGCCAAAAATCTTCAACATCTTCACCCAGAACATTTTTCAGCATTTGATTCTTTCACCGACTTCCATTTTCTCCCCCCAGGGTCCTCCAGGTCCCCAGGGTCCCAAGGGTATCGCTGGGTCTGCAGGAATTGACAAGCCTCCAGAGTTGGTCCAGGGACCGAAAGGAGACCAAGGGATGAAGGGAGACAGGGGTGAGAGGGGGTTCAATGGATCGCCAGGACAACCAGGGAGAAACGTGAGTGAAAAATTATAGTGATACAGTGGCCACATTCTCAACGAATCCAATAAAAATAATAATAATAATAATAAAAATCTAATTTGAGTCTAAAATCCAAATTTATTCAGTAGACTTAACAACAAAACCTGAAAGAAATAATATAAAGGCTATAGTAAAAAAATTGATGAAAACAATGTTTTATAATTTCAGCGTAGCCCAGACCTTCCTTATTTAATATATCAAATAGTTTCACAATGTTATAGACTGCAGTGGAGCCCATGCTCTATTAAATATATCAAATACGGTAATGTTATATAATTGCAGGGTATTCCAGGCCTGCCAGGACCTAAAGGGGAGAAGGGAATGTTTGGGCCATCAGGACGCAGAGTAAGATTAAGTTATCCCAGGAGTAATATATTGGTGAAATAAGAATGTTGCTTGTCTTAAAGTTTAATCATTTGAATGACTGTCAAATGCCCCCAGTTAAATAACTCTATAATCTAATTAAAACTCTGTAAAGACTGATATTGCTTAATTCATTATTTCTTATAATGCAATAACTTTATATTGACATATTCTTTCTCTGTGAATACTTTATGTCTTGTTTATTCATACAACATATTCATTGTATAAATAGGGTAAGCGTGGCAAGCAGGGACCCCTTGGCCCTACAGGAGCTAAAGGAATGAAAGGAGCCACAGGTTTTGATGGTATTCCTGGACGTGATGGCTTCTCTGTAAGTTTTGCATTTGTTAAGTCCTACTTTGTTGTTAACAGTTAATATATTAAGGTTATAATGAGTGAAAAGAAGTTATAGTGTTGGCCACTCAGCTCAAAAACTAGAGATGAAAGATTTCTGGATTTATTCAGATATTTGAGTGTTTTTTTATGACTCCTGACCTCCCACATAGAACTTTATGCCTATAGTGCTTGTATCTCAGGATCTCTTTAAAAGGTCCACTCAAACAGTAGCTAATCTATAGTTGTAGTAATCTTGATTATGAATAAAATAGCAGATGGAAAATAATCAAATTTTGAAGAGATACAGCAGAAATGATAACATTACTGATAAAGAACTATTTGTTTTTTTTCCCCAGGGTAGGAGAGGAGACCCAGGGTTCAGGGGTCCAGATGGCCCCCAGGGAGACCCAGTAAGTTACTCCATTAATTAAAAGATCTTTTTTGTAAAAGATTGCTTTTTTTTTTCAAATGAAACAACAACTTAGATATATTTCTTCATTCTTCATACTTTTACTATTCAAACTATTCAGCACCTCATATGGCAGCTGGGCTGTATCCTCCCCAGGGAGATCGTCCCAGTAATGTAATGACCAGGCGTCTAACTGTTCTAATATATCGCACTATACCCCACTGTATTTATATATACTTCATAGAATTGTATAACTCAACTACCTCTAGTTGCAAATAAAGATGATTATTATTATTATTATTATAAATATCCATTGTTACTTTCCAGGGCAGGCGAGGTTCAGATAGTCCTGGCCCAGGAGGTCCCGGGCCAATAGGCAGACAAGGGTTGCCTGGGATACCGGGTGGTCCAGGAATTCCTGGTAATTTGCTGCTGCATTCAGTGATTATGAAATGCATTAGTGGTGTTATTTTTGTATAATTTTATATTAATTGACATATCATATTTTTAACTAGACTAGTTTTTATGCTATCAAAGAGTGGTATTATGTATAGCAAACTATATTTTGGTAAAAAAAATTAATTTGATTTGAACATAATTTTTTAATGGTAAATTTAAGTGATGGCCCAGAGTGAAGGTGTGTCAAGTTTTTGAAGACTTGTTCTTGGACTGGACCACTGTATTTGATTTAAATACTAACTTCCAAAAATGACAGAAAAGAAACCCATTTCACCAACTTGGACATATTTTCCCATTGCTTGACCAGGTGCCCCAGGCCTTCAAGGCAGAGATGGACCCAAGGGTTACCGTGGAGACCCGGGAAGGGATGGACTCCCAGGACCAAGAGGAAGTACTGGGTACTCCATGAAGGGTGAAATTGGACCAGCAGGTATGTCATATTAATACCACTAGCTTTGAATTTAGGAATATTCCTTATACATGTAGAACTCACTGGAATTATGTAGCACTGTGATAGCAGCAAGATGTGTATCATTCATTTATGGCCATGTATATTCTCTCTCTCCTCCTCTTTCTCTCTCTCTCAGCACGTGCACGCACACACACACACGCATGCACGCACACACACACACATACACACAGAGATAATGTATTGCAGGTTTACACTGTCTTAAACTGACCATATGTGTAGTCTTGACCCATATATATGTACATATGTTCTATTCCAGGACCCCCGGGTTTCGATGGTATCCCAGGGGACCGTGGACTGCCAGGTTTACAGGGTTTGCCAGGCGAGAAAGGCGAGGAAGGCCAGACAGTAGAGGGGCCCCCTGGGTTTACAGGACTCCCGGGGCGGTCTGGGCGAGGTGGACCCCCTGGGGATCTTGGTGAGATAGGGTTTGTAGGAGACCCTGGTCTACCCTGGACGGGACCAATATTTCCTGGACCAAAAGGTTTCCCAGGACCCCCTGGACAGAAGGGTGACCCTGGGTTCCAGGGAAGGGATGGCCAGAGGGGACTGGATGGATTAAAAGGTAAAGTGGTATAAGATTATATATATATAATATGTATAAAACATAGCTGAAATAAGCAAAAATGTTTATAAGCTTGGTAGTTAGATCATAAATGAAAATTATCAAGTACATGCCCAAAAACTTTCATATTGTTAGCTTACAGCCGCTATTTCATCTAGGGGTCAGTGAGTGTCAACTTCTACCCACATCAGTCTGATGAAGGCCTACGTCGAGGTTGGCCGTAAGCTAACAGTATGAAAGAATTTCAGCTTGTGTTTGATAATTTTTATTTGTTATAAGCTGAAATACTTTTATACTGTCAGCTTATGACCATCTTGGACATTTTCATCAGACTGATGTGAGTAGATTTTGTTATTCACTGACCGCTAGGTGGTATAGCTACCAGGTTACTGCTACTATTTAAGTCAGACTGCATTCCNGCCTTGTTTGTTATAAGCTGAAATACTTTTATACTGTCAGCTTATGACCATCTTGGACATTTTCATCAGACTGATGTGAGTAGATTTTGTTATTCACTGACTGCTAGGTGGTATAGCTACCAGGTTACTGCTACTATTTAAGTCAGACTGCATTCCTTGGCAGGCCTTTCATTTAATTCATTTTGAATGTGGTTTAACACCAAGGTCAGTGTCAGACTATGTAGGTCACCCGTGTTATTTATCCACCTTCAGGGCCAGAGGGAGATGACTGTGGCCAGTGTCCACCTGGAGGGAAAGGAGAGCCTGGAGAGCAGGGAAGAGAAGGTGAGCCATGGTGGTATTTTGCAGTTATCACTAGATCTCTTAGTGTGCTACTGATCCTTAAAAAATAGAATATGCAGAACTCCATATGAATATTTCTCTCTTCTTGTGAAAAATGCAAACCAGTTGCCTTACATAGGTTCTTGAAGTGAGTATTTCTTTGTTCTTGATATTCTTTTTGATGGCATACATTATTGGTTATAACCCCTCCAACCAGTTCCCTCACATATGTTCTTGAACTGAGCATTCTTTATGCTCAAGAGAGTTGTAGATGACATGCAGTAACTTTCCCTTTCTTCCATCAAGGTGCTAATGGCATCCCAGGTCCTCCTGGTTTTACTGGCCCACCTGGTTTCCCAGGCCCGAAAGGAAACCCAGGTCGGCCAGGTGCCCGAGGTCTGCCAGGACAACAGGGACGTAATGGGTTTGAGGGCCTACCCGGGCTGAAGGGAGAGCGAGGGGAACTGATCATTCCACGGCCAGTTCCTGGATTAAAAGGCCAGCCAGGAGACCAGGGTTTCCAGGGATTGCCAGGGTTGCCGGGACGACCAGGCGGGAATGGTGATGTTGGGTTGCCTGGGTTACCTGGGGAAAAAGGAATGAAGGTATGTGGAGTTAAAAGGCTTGGTTCACTTTGGAGAGGAACTAAAACTGCAGCATTTGACTACAGTAGTCGAACAGGCTTTCTAGAGACTTTCCTCTCCACCTCCCCCACACACAACACTTCCCCCCCCCCCCCCAAATTACATTTCAGATTTTTTTTAAGGATCACAAAAATTAATGAAAGATCTGGTGATTTTCAATAAAATGCTCCAGTTTAAGTTGGCCCTGAAAGAAAATCATTCATTATTATGTGTTTTACCTGTTTTTGAGACAGTAAAATGATGTAGAGTCTGTAGAAATGTAAAAGCAATATATATCAGATTATAACATTGATTGCTTGCATGTTCAAAGAAAATTGAAGTAAAATCCAATTTAGCAAATGGAAAGTATTTCAAAGTATTTTATGTGAATTTAAGTAATTATTGTGAGGCACATTGTATATAAAGACTTGAAAATTCTTTTTAAAAAAGAGGCACAATTTTTTCCTGTTTATACAATCTAGCTGTGTTTTTCTCCTGTAGGGGGCAGTAGGTCGTCCAGGGTTAAATGGCCAAGATGGTCCCAAAGGCTCCCCAGGGCAGCCTGGCCTGAGAGGGGCTCCTGGTGAAGACGTGCAAGGTTTTGTAGGTCAGCGCGGTGATGATGGTTTTCCTGGGCCTCCTGGAGACCCTGGTTTGAATGGATTTCCAGGTAACACTGTGATAGTTAATATGTATATGGTCCTTTTCACATTGTGACAAGCACGTTTCCTGTTCGAGAGATTGACACCTTTTAGCCAGGCTTTTATGAAAGAGAGTCATTTAAATGGAGCCATGGTTAACTAACCTGATTAACTTTGAATGGTCCAAACAGTGAACTTGTGAAACAGAGTAAAAACATCTGTTAAATGTGCTTGCATAATGTGAATAGGGACTTTTGTGTAATGATGTGGATTAAGGATCTGTAAGGGGAGACTTGTGTTGTGTATGTCTTAAGGTGTGGTAAAACTGTATGTGTGTGTGGGGGGGGGAGGGGCAGTGATAAAGATACATCGAATATACTTTTTCAATGTCTTGACCTATTACCACAGTAAGCATGTAGAAAAAACTATTAGAAATATACATGTAAAGATTTTGGAGATGATATTTCGTTTTTTTATCTAAATATTGTTGATTTTAGGTGATAAAGGAGATGCTGCTCCATCAGTGGTATTGGAAAGGTACAGAGGAGATGCAGGCCCCCCTGGGTCCAGGGGAGAATCTGGACTTGATGGGGCCACAGGAATACCAGGTAGGTTGTCATGTTACACAGGATGACCAAGATATAGTTAGGATGTCATGATACAGGGGATAACCAAGATTCAGTCAGGTTGTCATGTTCATGAGGTGCCTCTAGAGTATCAGGAAGGTTGTCATGTTACAGAGGATAACCAAGATTCAGTCCTGTTGTCATGTCCCCAAGGTGCACCATGAGCACCAGGTAGGTTGTCATGTTACAGGGGAAAACTAAGATTCAGGTTGTCATATTTCTGAGGTGCATCATGAGCACCAGGTAGGTTGTTATGGTCCTGAGGGTAATTAAGATTACCTATAATTTAAAGAAATATGATACATTTTTCCTTAAATTTCTCATGCATTATATAAGTTGTAATACTTTGAATTTGCTCTCCTTAGGCTTGCCTGGAATCAAAGGTCAACCTGGAGAGTCAGGATTCCCTGGGCTCCGTGGCAGGGAAGGCGATAACGGTCTCCGGGGACCACCAGGTCAAAGGGGCACTCCTGGAGCCAAGGGGTTCCCTGGAATGCCTGGAGGAAATGGCATCCCAGGTCTGCCAGGTCCTTTTGGTGAGAGAGGAGACCCTGGTCCTGATGGCAACAGAGGACCACGGGTAGGTGGGGCTGTTGTGGACAGCAGAAAGCTCTGTGGCCATTGATAGGATGAATTTGTTTGTTATTGCATTGCTGCCAGTTCTAAATGTTTTAAGTAATATTCCCTCTTTTTTAAGATGCAATGTTTGGATTAAGGACTTTTCTAGCATTCTGGGTAATTGAAGAGTATTTGCATTTTCCCCAGATTTTTCTATAACATATACAATTTAACATGGATATGCCAAAGTATCTATCTTTGCATATGCTGTTTTAGATAATGTTAATTGNGACTTGTGTTGTGTATGTCTTAAGGTGTGGTAAAACTGTATGTGTGTGTGGGGGGGGAGGGGCAGTGATAAAGATACATCGAATATGCTTTTTCAATGTCTTGACCTATTACCACAGTAAGCATGTAGAAAAAACTATTAGAAATATACATGTAAAGATTTTGGAGATGATATTTCGTTTCTTTATCTAAATATTGTTGATTTTAGGTGATAAAGGAGATGCTGCTCCATCAGTGGTATTGGAAAGGTACAGAGGAGATGCAGGCCCCCCTGGGTCCAGGGGAGAATCTGGACTTGATGGGGCCACAGGAATACCAGGTAGGTTGTCATGTTACACAGGATGACCAAGATATAGTTAGGATGTCATGATACAGGGGATAACCAAGATTCAGTCAGGTTGTCATGTTCATGAGGTGCCTCTAGAGTATCAAGAAGGTTGTCATGTTACAGAGGATAACCAAGATTCAGTCCTGTTGTCATGTCCCCAAGGTGCACCATGAGCACCAGGTAGGTTGTCATGTTACAGGGGAAAACTAAGATTCAGGTTGTCATATTTCTGAGGTGCATCATGAGCACCAGGTAGGTTGTTATGGTCCTGAGGGTAATTAAGATTACCTATAATTTAAAAAAATATGATACATTTTTCCTTAAATTTCTCATGCATTATATAAGTTGTAATACTTTGAATTTGCTCTCCTTAGGCTTGCCTGGAATCAAAGGTCAACCTGGAGAGTCAGGATTCCCTGGGCTCCGTGGCAGGGAAGGCGATAACGGTCTCCGGGGACCACCAGGTCAAAGGGGCACTCCTGGAGCCAAGGGGTTCCCTGGAATGCCTGGAGGAAATGGCATCCCAGGTCTGCCAGGTCCTTTTGGTGAGAGAGGAGACCCTGGTCCTGATGGCAACAGAGGACCACGGGTAGGTGGGGCTGTTGTGGACATCAGAAAACCCGTTGGCCATTGATAGGATGAATTTGTTTGTTATTGCATTGCTGCCAGTTCTAAATATTTAAAGTAATATTCCCTCTTTTTTAAGATGCAATGTTTGGATTAAGGACTTTTCTAGCTTTCTGGGTAATTGAAGAGTATTTGCATTTTTCCCCAAGTTTTTTCTATAATATATACTATTTAACATGGATATGCCAAAGTATCTATCTTTGCATATGCTGTTTTAGATAATGTTAATTAGTTTCAGTGAATGTATATAAAATCTTTTACTCAAGGGTGAACCTGGCAGGGCAGTTGGCACAGGATATGGGCAGAAAGGAGAACCAGGTTTTGATGGGTTTAAGGGCGAGCGTGGTATCTCAGGAAGAGATGGACCCAAGGGTTTGGCGGGACGGCCAGGGGATGTGGGATTGAAGGGGATGAAAGGTGAGTAGGGCTGGCATATTGAACAAGCCTGCAACCAGCAAAGTAATTTTTTTCCTAAAAATGTGGGCCTTTTTGACTCCTTAAAGTTAGACAAGTTGAGAAATGGCATAGGGCTGACATATTGAGCAGGCCTGCGACCAGCAAATAAAGGTTCTTTTTTTCCTTAAGATGTGGGGTTTTTTTCCCCTTAAAGTGAGGCAACTGAGAAAAAGTAGAGTCTAGATCAAAATTTGCTTCAAACTGACCCTTTCAGGTCAAAATACCCATTGTCAGTCAGTTTTGAAAATTCCTTTTACTTGATTTGTGTAGACAGTGCAAAAACTGCAATATTTTATAATCATACATTTTTCTTTCTTGTTTTCAGGAGAAAATGGATTGCCAGGTCTTCCAGGAATTGGCCTGAAGGGGGCGCCAGGAGAGAATGGTTTACCAGGAAGGAGGGGGGACAATGGAACACCCGGACGTGATGGCTTCCCAGGTAGCTCCTTAAAACATTCTGAAGACATAAAAAGTTGTGTTATTTATGTCATTTTGAAAGATGACTAAACCAGCTTTTATGCACAGTCTTAAATTGGTGATTATGAATAATCTCTTTCGTGAACTGAAGTCAAACACATGATCAGAATCGATTTGTATGGAGTATTCTAGGCCTGTGAATCACCATTTTCCCCCTCACAATCTTATTTACTAAGAAAACCCTGTATAAGTTTTTCTGTAATTTTATTGCTTTTCTCTAAGGCATACCCGGAACCAAGGGAGCCCCAGGATCAGATGGTCTGGGTGGCATCCCTGGCAGAGATGGAGAGAAGGGTGAGGCAGGTAACGAGGGACCCTCAGGACCCAGGGGAGACCAGGGTCTACCAGGCAGGGATGGGAACCCAGGGTTCGATGGTCTCCCCGGACGCCCTGGCCCCAAGGGAGAGATGGGAGAAGAGGGGAACAAGGGACCTGATGGGAAGCAAGGAGAGCCCGGATTGCCTGGGCTGCCTGGAGATCAAGGTAAAGTCTTACTGTGGCCGCATTCAGAATACATGGTCTGCGGACTAACTGGTCCCCAGGTCAAATGTGGCTAACCCCACTTGAAAATGATGCCACATAATCCCCTATTGTCTCCACATCTACCACACATGCCAGCCCTGCAGGTGTCTTATTTAATTGTATAATATGTATACTTATATGTTAAATGAGTTGTGTAGAATTTCTGTTAAATATATATATTCATATATAAATATTTTAGTTTTCAGAGAGACAAATTATACAGTACAATTATTACATTGAAATTTAAGCATTAAAAGTATCCTTATTTAATTTGTTTTTTATCCTCCTAGGTTTACCAGGAGATGAGGGTCTACCAGGACCCCAGGGATCACGAGGAGGCCCAGGGAAGAAGGGAGAGAGGGGCAGAAGGGGGCTTCCAGGAAAGAATGGCCGTCCTGGAAACCCTGGGACCTCTGGACTCCCCGGGGATAGAGGAGATCCAGGATTAAATGGTATGAGAGACTTAAATTAAGGGACTGGCTATTATAGCCTGGTTATTTTAATTAAAAGAATGCAGTTGATGAAATACTTTGCTAAGGAGTGAATCTGTTAATAGCATTCATACTACAATTCCAGGTTCAACAGCTCCTGCTCTGAACATGTATAAGGTTCAAAATTTTTGTTTCAATTTTTTTTTCAGATATTGCAATTGGTATTTTCATGCATTATCTGTGTCAGAAAGTTTTTAAATCTCTGCAACTTGAATATTTTTTCTAAAACGAACCTCTTTCCATCAGTACTGAGGGAACTGTTTACAACTTTCTCCTTTTTTGACAATATGGAGGCTAGATCACCATACTCTTATCCCTTTTCCCTACACCCCATAACTCTTTATAACCATTTTTAACTCTTTGTCAACTGAAAAATTGCTGAATTTCTGGTGTATTTGTCATTAGGTGCCAAGGGCCAGGCTGGGTTCCCAGGTTTGGACGGAGGTCCAGGGTTCCAAGGAGAGAAGGGTGATATTGGTCCAGGAATACCTGGCCAGCAAGGTTAGTGTCTGTGTGTATGTGTGTGTATGTGTGTATGTGTATGCTTGTGTGTGTATATGTATATGTGTGCTGTGTATATGTTTGTGTATGCATGGATATGTGCCTCTGTGTACATGTCTCTTATTTATTTTCAAGCTTTTGGCTGCTCCCAGTCTTGAGCATGTGTTGGCCCATGTTTAGTCCTGGGTTCACTAGTGATATTACATACTATGACCTTAATGATAAATGAGAATTTCAATTTCAGTAGATTCTTGATTCGAGTTCATTACTTTTGAAAATGAACAGGTTTTGAAAAAGCGTTGTTACTTAGTTAACTGAATTGTATCTTACTGTGACATTATTTTATTTTTTTTTCCTAACAAAACCTTAACAGGACCCAAGGGCTTCATTGGGCGGAGTGGAAACCCAGGTCGTCAAGGTTCCCCTGGTAGAAAGGGAGAGATGGGACAGATGGGTCTTCCAGGTGTGTATCACAATATGGACATATAGAGCACATAAAGATTTGGTGCAATGTTAGTTACATCTAACACTTTGTGAATTTGCCTTATTAAATTAACACACTGTTTTTTACATCTGACACAATGTCTTCTACATGTGTCTCAATGTCTTTTAAATTTAAGACAATGTCTTTTATTTCTAACACAATGTCTGTAATGTCTGACATTGTTTTTCACATCCAACACAATGTCTTTCACATCTAATGTTATGTTACCCCATTGGTTCCCCTGGCAGTGAACCGCATTGAAGGTCCTGTTCTTCATTGGCAACATGAGATAACTATAACTGATTATTTGCCAGGTCCTGATGGTCCCCGGGGTGAGAACGGTATCCAGGGAGATAGAGGTTTCCCTGGGTTAGATGGCAGGCCTGGTGCTAAAGGGGAGGCAGGAGAAGATGGAAGTCAAGGCCTGATAGGATTCCCTGGGGACAGGGTAGGTGGGGGTGCCAAGGTGGTGCCCACGGGGTTGGGTTACAGGTTGGAGGGGGGTGTTCACAAATAGAGAGGGTTCATACTGGGAGTGGGAGAGGGGAGGAGGTTGGGGAGCGGGTGAGAGTGTTGGGAATAATTGTTGTTAAATGTTGTCCTTATTAATTGTTTGGTCAATGGATGTTTTTATATCTTTACAGACATTTGGAAGTGCTGTTTTGAAATCGAATAAAATCCACATAGTGTAATGACTTCTTATGCCCCGTCAAATCAATTAGCATCTGAATACAGCACAATGTGAAAAGGGAGCCAGAGAAACACTTTTCCTAAATAGTAATTCACTCAAGTAACTAACTTGCAGAAGTTCTCTTTCTGCAGGGTAACCCAGGACCTGCAGGTCTGGATGGTCTTCCAGGACCTGGTGGTGACAGGGGCCTGGATGGACTCCCTGGGGCCAGAGGCAGGAAGGGGACCAGAGGCAAGGATGGGGACAGAGGGTTTGATGGATTCCCGGGCAACGTTGGGCCCAAGGGTGATACAGGATTTGCAGGCAGGGAGGGGTTGCCAGGGCAACCTGGATTAAGAGGAGAAGATGGATTCCCTGGAGGGAGTGGACAGAAGGGTGACCGTGGGGAGGATGGAAGACCAGGATCTCCTGGAGCAAATGGCCAGAGTGGAGAAAAAGGTATGTAACAGTGCCTGAATGTTAGGATTAATGGCCAGAGTAGAGATAAAGGTATTTTAGAGTACCTGATTATTAGGATTAAGGGGTAGAGAGATTTGCTGTCAGTCCACGCTCATGTTGAGAAGTTCATGCAATGGATATTCAATGTACAGATATGTGATCTTTGCATGTGGTGATAAACTTCCCTCTTGTTATTTTAGGCTCAAGAGGTTTCCCAGGAAGCAAAGGTTTTCCAGGATTAGATGCCCCTCCAGGTAATTGAGTATAAGTTTTTGCACCATATTAGATTACAGTTTCGGAGAATATGATGCATTGTGATTTAAACTTTACACACATGGAACAGAAATGGATATGTTCAATCAGCAAACAGAACATAAAAAAGATACATTTAATATATATTGTATACATAGTGTAAAATTGTAATATAATTGTTTGATATAACATAAAACATATAAAAATGTTCAACATGTCAGGCCAGCGTGGTGCGTCAGGAGAGCCAGGAATCCCCGGAGCCCCAGGTTTGCCAGGCTCCCAGGGACCCCAGGGGCTGCCTGGATTTAATGGAGCCCCAGGGCTGAAAGGGTTGGATGGAGAGCCAGGGAGAAGCTTTCCAGGAAGCAAAGGATTTCCAGGAAACCCAGGTCCTGATGGATTCAATGGTAAGAGTGGCTTGGCTGGTGCTAATATGTGGTCTGTATATAACATGTGGTTGAAATAAAACTTGGAGATTTTCTCACTTGGCAAATGTGGGTGACATTTATGTATATCATGAGTGATTTTGGAGTTCATGTGTTTAAATAATCTTATTTTTGTTACAATTCTTTCTTTCTTTCTTTCTCTCTTTCCATCTGATTTCTATAATTATTATTGTAATTGTTAACAGTGTTTATTGATTTTGTTTTATTTTAATTTCTTGAATTTTTCCCTTTTACTTATTTTATACCTGCTACTTGGTCAAAAATGTTATAATATTAAGAGCATGGAACCTGTTATGTTGTCACTGACTATGTTATATGCTTACTTGGTTAAGGATTGCCTGGCAGGAAGGGGGACCGAGGGAGAGATGGTAATCGGGGTCTTCCAGGGATGAAGGGAGAGGAGGGACTCAGGGGACCCCAGGGAAACGATGGACTTAGAGGGAACCCAGGGGAACAGGGGAGAGATGTAAGTAACAGTTGGTGTAATAGGACACAAATTGGTCATGCATGTGTTTTGTTGGTTCTTGCCTTTAAACATTTGGATGGATATGTTTGGGCTGTTTATATGTAAATTTATAACATAGTCATGCTAAAATACAATGTTTATCTTTTTAGGTAAGACTTGTTAAATAATGAGTATTTGTTTCAAAGTTACGCAAAGTTACGTCAGAAAAGTTCAAGATGAACTGATTTTAAATATCCCCATCTTTTAAATGAAGAAGTCATTTATTACTTTTGGCAGGGCGTACCTGGTTTTCAAGGTGCTCCAGGTAGCAAAGGTTTCCGTGGCAACCCTGGTCTGCCAGGCCTGGATGGTGATCTAGGTCGCCGTGGAGACCCTGGAACTCCAGGGTTTGACGGACAGCCAGGAATTGATGGTGTTAGAGGTGAAGATTACTTTTTCTTTTACGGTTTCAACAGTTCTAAGGTATACAATACAGGTTTAAACTTCATATGGCGTGAAAAAATGAAATAGGTTTATTCATTCCGTTTTTCAGCAGTTTTGCCATTGTAACCAACTGGGGTTTGTCTTTTATGTTATTCATAAGTTTAAGGTTTATAATGTGGCTAGGTAACAAATTAAAAGTCTTAGAACCTTTTCTGTCTAATAAACGCAAACCTTTGTATGTACAGACACAAAATTGACAGTAACCTATTTTATGCATCATTATATTCTGCTTTTTGTCTGTACATTTGACAGCTTTGCTGCCTTGTTAATGATTTAATCTGAACTTCAGGTCCAAAGGGAGAAGTGGGAGAGCCTGCGCCTCAGTTTAGCAGGGTTGGACCCAAGGGTTTCCCTGGAGACCCCGGACCAAACGGATTCCCAGGACTCAAGGGACAGCCTGGAGATGTGGGGCCCAATGGTGAATATGCAAATGAAATAAATAAATTTCCTGGAAGATTTATTTTAAAAAGCAACCGAGCAAAGAAAGATCTATTTTCTTAGGCTGGATCCTTGATGGAGCTTTTATTCTTTTCAGTTCTGTTTGCTTGGTTGTGTCTTTTTCAATTATACTGTTTGAAAAAGGAGGCGTATCATCAACGCTAAGGGGAAAAGGGGTGCCCCCTCCTAGATCAACCTTTTGTGGAAAACTTCAAAAGCAATTTCAATGTTAAAAGGAATTATTGTGGCTGCAGTTTACACATGAATGCAAACAGAGAAAAATGAGATATTACTAGAGTGATCACTAGATTCAGTTAAAGAACTCTTTAGTGAAGAGGTGCATTGTTGGTGTTGAGGAACCCATGAATATATTATTGGCAATTGTCAGAATACCTTTATTTTCTCATCAGCCAATGATTTCTCCATGCAGGTTTCCCTGGTCTTCCGGGCATGCCAGGCACAAAGGGCTTCAGAGGTGAAGATGGTCCCAATGGCCTTGATGGTCGTCCTGGAAACCAAGGCTCAAGGGGATTGGATGGAGTTGGCGGTTTCCCTGGTAACAGAGGTTCCATTGGCCCACCTGGGATGATAGGGAATCCAGGGCTGCCTGGGGGTAATCCAGGCTTCCTGCTCACAAGGTATCAGACTTGATTACTGTCTGTTGACTACAGCATATGAGTCTTTTTAAGATGCATTTCAAGTATTTTTGTATGAGTATTTCGGCTAAACCTGACCAAATGCATCCATACTGTTTCAAATAGTATTTTATGCAGTAGAACATTATCAGAGGATTTTTTCTGCTTTAAATATGTGCTTTATGGACTGGTAGATCAGATGTACTGGAGAATTGAAGATTGTGCATTTTAAAAGTATTTTTCTGATGACCAAGAAAGAATAAATTTGAGATATTTTTCCCTTCAAAAGTGTAAATGAATAGTCTGTAACATCTTTCAGACATAGCCAAAGTACAGCAATTCCAGATTGTCCATTTGGGTTGAGAAAAATGTGGGATGGTTACTCCCTGTTGTTTGTCCAAGGTAATGGCAGGGCCACAGGACAAGATCTAGGTGAGTGTGACATCTTTATTTTGCAAATATGATTAAAGTATTTTGTCAAATATATTAGCTGTATGGCTGATGGCTTTGTTTCTAATTCGTAGTTCCACGATCAGCTGGTCTGCAGGTAGGAGTGTTCTCAGTGATCAAAGTACATTACTGGCTTTCCATATAGAAATAACAGCATGTATTGCCCATTTTTCTATTCCTGTCTGTTTTCTCCAGGCTCAGGAGGCAGTTGTCTGCGCCGTTTCAGTACCATGCCATTCATGTTTTGTAACCTGAACAACGTGTGCAACGTGGCTTCAAGAAATGACTACAGTTACTGGCTGTCAACACCAGAGCCCATGACACCCATGATGAACCCAGTCAGAGGGGGACAGATACAGCCATTTATTAGCAGGTGTACAGTTTGTGAGGCTCCCTCTCTGGTGAGTAGGCACGGATATTGTTTTACGTTTTTGCTACCATGAATTTTCTTACACTGTGTACTGGTAAACCACTGCTATTATTAGCCCAGTAAGACCTTGTTTACCCCTGCAGAGATTTCATAATATTTGATGGATTTGCAGTTTGTTTGTTTCATTGATTGATTGATTCATTGATTGGTTGGTTGATTAATTGATTGATTGAGTATTTAACAGCTGTTTTATACATAGGCATGTTGATTTGAATCTGGGAGCTTAAATCATGCTCATTTTATGGCAGCTGTCACAGGGTGTTCCATATATATTCATGTTTTAGGTGATGGCTGTTCATAGTCAGAGCTTCCAGGTGCCCAACTGCCCCAGAGGATGGAAGGGGCTCTGGATTGGATACAGCTTTGCTATGGTAATACACTGGCAGGGATGCCCACAGACATTTCAGACACACAAATGACCTTTTCCAGTAAAAAAAAAACTAGTGACATGGAATATTAACATGTCTCATTTATGTTGATTTTATAGTTATTTCCAAACACATGGTCACCCACACACCATTGTACTGACTATTTAAAAAAATGCCATAGAAAGCAAGCAAGGTAAACAGTTATAACTTTGTATATTGATGAATATGAATGAAGAAAATTCATTTCAGTACTTGTACAAATTTTAACTTCCATATTCACAATATTTATACAAGCATCACACAAGAAAATAAAAAAATAGGATACAGTTAGATATGAATAAATCATGATGCCTCTTTTCTGTTTGTTAGTTTGGTGTGATCACAAATACATTGCATTGCTTATGTTGCAAGTCTGGGATATACATTTACAATATATACAGTATATATTAAAAGTAACACATAATACAGGCTACATTGTCACAAAATAAATACTATTTGATACAAATAGATACATCAACAGGTGAAATGGATACAATGAGATACACTGACAGGATGTAAATAGATACAATTGGTTACATTGTTTCTTTTCCACATTCCAGCAAGCAGCAGCAGGAGCAGAGGGGTCAGGCCAGGCTCTCCAGTCTCCAGGCTCATGTTTAGAAGACTTCAGATACACCCCTTTTATAGAATGCCATGGAAAAGGCACATGCAATTACTATGCCACAGACCTTAGCTTCTGGCTGGCTGCAGTGAGCGAGAGAGACAATTTCAGGCGGCCTATACCAGAGACAATTAAAGCTGGAGATTTGAAAAATAAAGTCAGCCGTTGCCAAGTGTGTATGCGGGTGGTTAGATAGAATAATTTCGCTCTTCTTCCTGGTAGAATGATAATGATAATAATATTGATAAAAGGGGAAATTTGCAAGATAGTTTTTCATGTAAAACATCTGATCAAGTGAACATGTAACATAAATGAACACTTAGCATAAGCTTACTTTTATATGTATCTTATCATCAGTTTTTTGCATTCTGAGAATTCAAAGTAGTATAGTTTTACCAGTAACATAACATTGATTCTGTAATGTAAATTAATTTTTTGCCATTTGGGTGTATACTAAAGAATGATATACATATCTAGACACACTTCCAGATAAAGTTGACCTAAATCAGTTACTAAAAAAATTGCTTCATGTATGTGTATATAATATGCTGAACAAGACAAGTTTTTTTTTACAAAATTGGACTGCCCTCAGTTTTCTAGGAGAAGTCTGAATTTATAATTTTTCATGTAGGAACATGTATGCATGTATACGCATATATAGATGATCCAGTTAGAACTTACTTATTGCTGAATGGTGAATTTTACTTTATCACTTTTAGATTAACACTCAGTCTGATAATATTTGCCTATACCTCTTTTAAAGTCCAAGCAATAACCATATTTTGACAGTATATGCTCAAAAAAGTTTTGTCTTGATTTTAAGTAGTCTTGATTTTAAGTAGTCAAAGAAATATTTAATAATGTTATGTGATTAAACAGCCAGTCACTGCCAGAGTCAAACTTATTAAAATTATTTCTGATCTTTTTGCCAAAATGTTTGATGATCATTGTACATTTCAAACTTGCATATATGTAAAATATTCTTATGTAATTATATAGCTTGCGGTTTAATATATCTATATAGTTTTTTTTTTCTTTTATGTTATGTACATGTAGATGAGGATTGAAATGTAATCATTGTATTTTACTATGGGACTTAATGTCTTACACCAGGATAAGTAAGACTGGATAAGGGTTTCACCAGTTCAGTCAGGCAGGTCAGTATATGTGGCCTGGACTTTGCTTATTAGAAACAAGTGATAATCATGTAGTGATGAAGTCTTCACATTTGAAGGTATTCACAAACTCTTCAAGGCAATGGCTAAAGGGTGGCAGTGAAAATGCAATTCACAACAGATATTTTGTCCAATATCTTTTTCCTGTCACTTTAGGTCTTTGTTAACATGGCACGTAGCTCAACCCCCAAAGTCAGACTCCTGTTGATTTCTGAAAACACGTTTCTGAAAACTGTAATGTACTTTAATTTATGAACTTCTGGTTCTTGTTATAATGTTCACGGTTCCATATTGTGCAAGATCTTTGTTTTATATAAAAGACACCAGCTACAACTTGGTGTGGTTATACACCATGTATTACAGCCTGGGTAAAATGTCAGTGTCTTCCTGCTCAATTATCAAAGTGGTTGAAAAGTTTAATGGGTTTTGGTTTTGTTTAATCTGCACCTTACAGCCATTCCCAGTTCCCACTGCTTAGCAATATCAGGTGACTGTTACCGAATAAGCCAGTCTTGTCAGAAAATAAATGTGTCCAACAGTTTAATTATTTGTCTGTCATAAATGTTCACACCTCACTCACAGTGGCAAAAGAAGCACCACATTCATTGATCAATTTTGTAAAGAATGGGCCTTATTGATTAGAAAATTCAAAACGAGCATAAAAGCGCTTTCCTTGGGAGAAAATACGTGATGATTGTTCCAAGTCTTTTCAAGATGATACGTATAAGTAGTTATTGCTCAAAACTGTTCAGTGACAACCTTACTGTCTCTTCATTACCTGTCGTCTATTTATGAAAAAAATATGTATTTCTAAAAACGTTTTTGTTTTATTCCGTAATGGGTTTCACTTTCACTATGAGTAGATGCTTAACATGGCAGTCGAATTACACAGCGCCCCGCGCCCCCTCCCCTAAAAACTTTTTAAGCGGGATTCGATGAACAAATGATTTGGATTTTAAAAACTTCAAACAAGTATGATTATGAATAATAAGAAAAGAACGAGAGAAGAAACCCTATTCTGCAGAGAATTTATTCAGAGAGATCTGCTCTGAGAACATAAAAATCCAATAGGAGTAGATCTAGTACATTAATACGTTATTTCCACAGAAGTGGAAAGTACTCAATTATCCAAGCATGGAGTAGACAAAGCTAAATTGCCTTCACTGACACCCGTAAGTTTTCCACGCAATGCGTACTGAATGATGTACTCATTGGCGTAGTTGACGACCTGGGCAGAGGGTGAGGTGATAGTCCCGTTATCTCTGAGGACCTGCAACCAGGCAGCCACGGCGCCGGTCACAAACGGAGCTGCCATGGAGGTGCCACTCATTTTAGTATATTGATTGTTTCCAGAGAAGTCAGCAGCTTCGATACTCTCACCCGGGGCATAAAGATCTAAACAGGGACCATAGTTGCTGAAACTAGACTTTTCAAAGTAGTAATTAAAGGCTCCGACCGTGAGGGCATTGGGAGTGCTAGCAGGAGAGACAGTGCAAGCGTCTTTATTAGAATTACCAGCTGCAACAATTGCGGGGATTCCCGCTGCGAGTAGATCATCGACTGCGTCGTTCAGAGAACTGGTGAACGGCCCACCAAGACTGAAGTTAATAACGGAGAGTCGCCCAGAGCTTTGCACTCTTTGTTTTGCCCACAGACAACTTTCCAATATATCGGAAAGATAGCATCCATAACTTGAACAAACCTTCAGGGAAATTATGTTAGCACGCTTTGCCACGCCAGAATTGGTTCCGACGATGATACTGGCCACATGGGTACCATGGCCATCGTCGTCAACACTTGCAGATGTAGGCCAGCCTGGAGAAATAAGAATTAATATAATAAATCAACCATTTTCATGTGTTAAACCTAAAACTGATCAATGTTGAACTTCTTTGATTTGCTTTTACTACCAAGGAGCATGAAGGCGTCTCATTTGGGATGAAGTGAATATTCCGTAAACTGAACAATGGTACAAAATTGGCCCAAATATAACTATCCTGTACTATAAAAACAGACATTTGAGGTATATAATGGTAGTTGTATTGTAACTATATTTTATGAGCAGCTATCATATTACAGAAGAGATAACATCCCCATTTCTATTCAGCATTAAGTGAATCCAGATTTCCCAATGGGAAGATAAATTCACTCTGAGACTCTGATGACAACGCGGAAATACTGTTTTCTTTTTAAACCTAGTAATGAAAAAGGCTTGCAAATCAGACGTTGTTTTCGCTGCAACGCTGCATGAAGACAATCAGAAGGCAACTCACCAATAGTAACTCTCCCTGTGAAATCTTCGTGGTTTGGATTGATGCCTGTGTCTGCCACATACACATCTATTCCCTCTCCATCGCCCCAGATGTCATACTTGAAACTGTTTAGATTACCATCAAGGGCATCCAACCCCTGCAAGTAAGGGAAAATTCAAACTATGAAACTAGCTTTGGAATATTGCCATGACTGTAATTAACAAATTCTTACATAAGGAATTCTAGATATGTACAGTTCTTGTAGAGTCTTGCCAGAAAGTATATGGAAAAAAACCAAAAGAACACCATGTTGAAATTTAATAAGGTTTATCATAGAAAACCAAACCAACCAAACCACCCTTTAAATTTTTGAGAGGACATTATAAATCTTTTTGTTTGCTGGACAGTTTTGAGATAGATATTTGCAACTGCACTCGTCAAAAGCAAATTAAATGCACCCTTAACTTCATATATTGCTCAGATGTATGACAAAGAGTATGTGACTTTAATCTTACAAGTACATGTGTATTACCAATAGTCAGAACGATTCAAAGATTTAGAAAAGCTTGTTGACTTCATGACGGAAAGTGAACTGCTTTAAGAAATCAGAATAATCAACATTCTATAAAGGCATTGGAATTAAATCAAATGAAACCTTTAACTTATAAGGTCGATCTTTCTGCATTAACATCAGCATTAACATACCCAATTACGTCTGTCATATGGTATATCATAGGATTTGCAGTATTCCGTGTTTAGTGTTAACTTGACGCCCTGTTCGATTTCATCAATGACATCGGTGAGTTGACGCAAACTGTCGAGGTTGCTTAAAACAATGTTAAATAAACTCATAAACACAGTCACATTTTTCAAAAAGGTATATGTACTTCCTTGGTGTTAGTAAAAACAAATATAAAATCATTGATTGATGACCAATGCGTATATTAAACATTTTCTCCTTAATTTTTTAGCCCAAAGTCTTATTTGATCATTAGTTTATAGTGAAGACGATGATAAAATATTTTTATTTATAAATTTTTTTTTAGGAATTTGTAGGACCGGCTGAAAAGAAACGGTTAAAATGCATTGTATCTAACCTTTTACTTATATTTCGCAGAATGACGAAATCCTTTTCTCTATTAAACTTAACTTGTTGTCTTCGTCCAGCTCCTTTGATGATTCTACGGACTAGATAAATAAAATTATGTTTCTTGTAAATTGTTTACATAATAAATCTATCTAAGGCTACAACAAAGCAGAGATGGATCGGAACCCAAGCCCATTTTTAGAAAAAAACAACAAAGGCACCCAGAAAACACAGACCTTCACCAGGACAAATAATTAACTAAAATCAACCATTAGTTAACACCTGAACCATCACCAAAATCTTGTCACTTTTTTAATTATCCTGATTATTTCATCAAAACTCGTCCATCCATTTCTGCGTTACGTTGCTAACAGACTACCAAACTAATGGAAGAAAAAACATAGACTCCTTGGTTCATAAGCAGGTCTTTAGCACAATGTGTGAGCTGGAAAAGTGCCTCCTGCTAAAGCCCCCGTCACACTTATTCGGAATCAACAGGTTTCAAGCAAAACCAGCAGTAGTGACTAAATTAAAAAATTCGTACTACATTCGGGAAGAAATTTCAAATTGACTTAATTCTTGTAAGAAGGCCGTTGGAATACTCAGAATGCGCTGAATCCGCCTGGAATGATTCGTGCACATTTCGGCTGTATTAGCTCTCAAATGCAGCTGGAATGTAGTTGGAAAACTAAAAATATGAATAATGCTGACAGAATGCAGTCAGAATATTTAGAATACACTTCCAATGCCGTACGAGTGTAGTTCGATTGCTGGATGAAATAGGATCGAGATGCATTCGAGTTGCATTCCGGCTAATTCTAGCTACCCTGAGTGTCAGAGCAACGTAAAAATTAGCTTGTAAATATTAAAATTACCTTGGAGTCATTTTTACTAGTATTGCTGATATGGGCTATATATGAAATCAAGATCGAGCTGGCAATACCGGAATCTAGAACCTAGGGTAGTTCTAGCAGGATAAGAAGTGTCTTGCCATTTCTGTTCTCCCTCGAATATGATCAGAATGTGAGAATATTAGGAATGCAGCAATATTGCAGTTAGAAAACTATTCAATTGCCATTCGATAATTTTCCACTTGGAATGCACTTCGAACGTTTTTAACACGAGCAAAACATTCGGGTCGGCCACAAGAATGGGTAAAAATATTTGGAATGCACTCGGGATTTTTAGAATGCTCTTCGAATATCCAGGAACGCACAAAGAATTGTCTTTCTGACGACTTTATTGCTCATGCCGTCTCTAGTGTGACAGGGGTATGAGATTCGAAAAGAAAGCGCTGTATGTCCCATCAGCCAAAAAATAGATCACAAAACAAACACTTTTATTTTACTGAACATTGTTAACGCAACAAAAAGCAAAAGTCTCAGAGCAAACATGCTTCAGCTTCATTGCTTTATTTTTTCCCCCTGGTGCTTGCTTGTAGCGTTTCAACCACAGTGGCGCTTGGTTAGACCACCACAACCACAAATGCTAGACGACCTTACACCCCATTTCCATAGATTTTTAGATCGATCTATCCCTGTGGGGAGTCTCACTAGGTTACTGTCAGCTTGGCCGGCTTAAGCGTCTGTCCCGCCTACTAAAAGCTATAAGGGGGTAATAAACTATGGTGCGCGCTCGTCTGACTGCAATTTAGCGTGAACCCCTAGGGAGTTAGGTCGATCTAAATTTTAATCCCTGAATCGATCTAAATCTCTGGAAATACACCCTTAATGTCCTCTCCCGTTGCCCTGCGATCCAGTAAAATTAAATATACCTTCAGATATAATTATCAAAGTGACTGTTACACGCAGGGCCAAAAGGATTCAATTTCATTGGCAAGGGATTTGGTTAGATACGTTTACTTACTACGACCGTAGTTTGCACCAGGCAGGAGTCGAGCAATGTATTGTCCTGACACAGAACCGTTCATGTACTCAATAAGTGGCACTGAGGGAGATATGAATAAGAATGAATCAGGCATTGTTATTTGCAATTTAGTTTGGGTACGTTTCAAACCTACATTCCTCGATGAATTAAAGGCCTCTTTTTGATCACTTACATGTATAATGCTCATGTAAGATTTCTTCATGTCATGGTATAAATCAAACTATTATGCTGTGAATTTATTTTCACTATATTTGATAAAACGTATTTCATATTCTGAAATGTTTTAATTGTAAAGTGTTAAATACATCAACAATCAAATGAACAAATCTATACGTTGCCTTTCCTTCATACACTGACATAAAAATCGGTGTTATTAAACAAATAGACCATGACCAACGTTTGAAGTATTATAAGATTTCTTACACATTGTTGTGTGAAAACGCGTCATATGACAAACTCATTTTGTGCAAATAATCAACCGTTCTACTTGCCTAACCCTTGTTCTTCTGACACTCTCAATACACCAGCATCTTGCAACTTTTTTCGAATGGATTCGTGATCTCCTTTTTTCCTCGGTGGTGCCTCGGGTGCGTCTCCAGTCAAAACGTTGTTCTCCTGCGCCGCACTCTGATATGCACTTGTCATTGTAAACATCCAGAAAGCCAAAACACCTATGAGTGCCGATGCCTGCATACTTCTATAAACAATCATTTCGATTATTTTAAATAGAAAACTTGTTCAGTCACAAAAATAGTATGATTTCAAATAAGATTATATGAGGTTGACAAAAAAATTCAAATTAGTTATTCTTAATGCGTCTTCATGATAATTGCCATTTAAAAATTATTTATGCAAGCACAACGAAGCTCAGTTTTTGCTCAAAATGAAATATGAAATAGTCATGTGACTAATATAAGCACTTATTAAAATGACGAAATTTGATACGATACGAAGAAACAAGATTGGGGATGGTAACAACATTGCATTAAATAATCACCATGCACCCCATACAATAGAGCAAAGATTGGTAAAGAACAAAGAGCTTTCTCGTTTGGTTCCCATTGAATTTCATATTTTCATGATGGTCACTACTGGTAGGGATATGACTAAAGTCAAAACAATAATGTAACGCAAAATTAGCTTTTATCCAAGAAATAACGTTAACACTGCGTGGTATTAATGTCGTGCCCGCATTAATGTTGTTTTTTGTTAGATTTAATATTGGACGGACTCCCGATTTTGTGAGGGTAGAACGTATTAAATTTTCCATACCAGGTCAACTGCTTGCGTTGTTGTTTCTGCAAGAATATTTAAAACGTGCATATAGCTAAAAAGCTTTTCTTTCCTGTTTCTTTTTTATGTCTAAAATTTTTATCCAGATATTAATGCAATAAAATTAAAAACTAGAGCAAAAATACCTTTTTCATTATTATGTTCACCACCCCATGCAGATCTTGCATTTAGCTCTGTTCCTGATATCCTCAATTTGTATGTTTTTTTATAATGATAGCAATCTAATTACGTCTTTACTCCGGAGCTAAGTTTGCCAAAATCAGAAAAAAAAGGTAATGCAGCCGAAATTGATCAACTGTATTTGACTGACGGACTGATGTCCTCAACCAGCAGAAAAATGCGCCAAAAAACAACACGTTGCAAGCGCTTGGAAGCTTGGTAAGTAGCAAAGGTCTCGAGCATTGCAACTTTCTACACATACCATATATACAGAACCTTTCACATTGCAAAAGTCATTATTAACATGTGAGCTAATTTTAAAGATAGCCCAGTAACCTTCGTAGAGAGTAATGCAACTTACCAAATGTTGCTCCTTTTCCTTTGAACAGTGTCGTGTTCCATATGACAACGTTCTGGTATATTTTCAGCTAATGGTAAACATTAAATATGATCATATCACGTGTGCCGCCCATATCAGACCCGTAGATGTAGCTAGGCTGGCTATGGAGCATATTTGGGGCAGGCCATCAATTCCAAAAAGGTCTAATTAATTATAAAGTGCATGATGATTGGCAGTGCATATAGCCAATGCACGCGGAATATGAATACATTTTCTGATGTGCACCGCCATACCATACCGTAGCTTAGTCACTTTTGGGACTTATTTAGGATCGCTTTTTTAAAACGGAGGCCATTTAATCCCAAGTAAGCTTGATAAAATATCCCGTTCACCTTAAGTTACGTTAAAGCAAAAAGAACCCTATCAATTTCATGTTGTTTATGGTGTTCCCGAATTAATATTGTTTCTATCATCACCCGTGTCCCTTTACTTAAAGCAAATGGAAACCTATCAACTTCATGAACTTAATGCTTTTCCCACATTAATGCTGTGTTTATTAAATGGATTAAGTATTTGACCCCGAGTTTCATGCGGGTACATTTTGGGACGGATCCCATTTGTTCTACCGGTCAACTGTTGGCGATGATGTACAGGTAGCTGCTGGGATTAATTTTTATGCTGTTAGAATTTCTCAGAAAATCGAGTGGCTTTAGGAAAGGGAACCATTTTGGAACTTCAATAAGTAACATCCGCTTAAATTGGTCAAAATTGCATATTTTCTTTTCTTTTATATAAAATGCATATCTACATTTTATTACAATAAAATTTAACACTTCTAGAGCAAAAGAAGGCTGGGGAGTCACATTTTCATTATGAAAATCTGACTAGGGGAGTCAGATTTTTATGGGAGTCAGATTTTCATGTTACACCGGATAAACACACACTGGACAATAGAAGTGTCACTTATAATGCCTGGCCTACGTATAATGTGACTAATGAGTATAAAACCGCTATACTATGGAATTGTATTGATGGTCTTGTACATGTACAACAAATGTTATTCCTGTCTTCCTCCAACATGGCAAGATACAGGCAATTATCTAACGGTTATAGGTGCAAGTTATTTACCCGAAGAAGCGGAATATAAGCCATGTCAGAATATCGATACAATTGAATTGTTCAAGCAGAGCCGAGCAGAGGGTCTGGTCTCGGTACAGAAACACTAGATCAAGAGACAAATTGCCTCTAATGGTCGTCCAAGAAAAAATACTGGCCGTGAAGACCGACGACTGATTTTGATGTCCAGGTTGTCAAAGTTCGACACTGCTTGTCAGTTGACAACACAGTGGAACAATTTCACACATAAGAATGTGTCTGTGAAAATCGGTTACATGCTCATAGAGTGTACAGCAGGGTAGCAAGACTGTGAACTAGGGTCAACAGGATTAGGAACTGGACAGTCCATGACAATTGGTCCTATATATATTTTTTCTGATGAGTGTCGCTTTGGTCTGACCTCTGATGACAGACGGGTACGATGTTGGCGAACTGCTGGTAAAGCATTTGAACCACATGCACTGAAGTTTCGAACCCGGAGCAGCATATTCATCATGGTGTGGGACTGCATCAGCATCCATGGCTTGAGCGAATTGATAGATGTTGATGGAAACATGAATCACTAGAAATATATAGATGTTTAGGAGTCAGGCTTGCTACCATCTATGACTAACATGTTTGGCGACAGGAATTATCCATCTTTTCACCAGGATGACAATGCTCCTTGTCACAGGCCCAGAGCAGTTGATGATTGGTTTGACCAACGGGACATTCACAGGGTGATGTGGCCTGCCCAGAGTCCGGCGGCAAACATAATAGAAAGCATGTGGAATGATATGTCAAAACTTTTGACAAATGCCCGTCTAACCAGCAGAGAAACTCTGTTATATTCAGTGTTTTATGCTCAGGCCAGCATAAGCCTTGAACGCATCATACAATTATATGAATTTTTGCCTCGTAGACTGGCACCTATTATTAGGTCACGTGGCTAAGCCACTAAATACTAATTTTGGACTTGAAACTGCATATATTGGTAGAATGTATCTTTTGTTCTCATTTTTTTTGTGAAATTTGATGTTAATAAAATGATACCAGGAGCATATCATTCCACAGTCATTTATCTCACCCATAGTATTGGTTCAGTAGGGGTGACACTTCTATTGTCCAGTGTGTGTAGTATGGTTTGGCGTGGTTTTACCTTTCATCGCCCCTCTCCTTCTTCAGTGTTTAAGTAGGTCATACTCATACGGGCAAAAATGAAGCAAATCACACCTTATTCTTATGTATGTATAGTTTATGATATAAAGAAAACTTCCTTTGTAACGGGCGGCAATTAAAAAAAATAATTGCTCTAAATTCGTATCTGAATTACGAACCTCTCCGCCCCAAAATAAAGGAGCTAACACGTGCAATTACACATGCCATACCAACAAATTGGCAGACTTGGTCAATTAACTTGCGGATTGTGCTGTTAACAATGCAAATACACCATTAAGACTGGGCACAGCCAGGCCCTTATTAGGATGGGGTCTGGGCCTCTTAGGCATATGACTAGATTAGGACTGGGCCTGTGGCACATATCTATATGGCTTAGTTTGGTGATTGTTTTAAATCCTTTGACGTATAAAAACAAAACTGGAACTTATTGATCATAAAGAAAGAAAATGATGTGTGTCCCTACAAAGGAGACACTGAGATGAATGAAATATAATGTCCAAACAAATGGGAGTATCCCTAAACCTAAAATTTATCACATATGCAAATGCACGTTGCATCAGATGTGCTGGATTCCCCGGCCCCTAAAGCACAATTAAAAGCAATATAAAGGTGACAATAATCCTGCCCTTGCACTGGATATAAAGAGGGTTCTCGTAGACTTAGCAGTCGAAGTACTCAGCTCCCCCCTCCTCCAAATAAAACTTTTTAGTGGGGTTCGATGAACAAATGATTTGGATTTTAAAAAGCCTTTAAAAAGGTTTAATTAAAAATAATATGAAAAGGAAAAACATTTGCTCTGCAGTGATAGATTTATTCAGAGAAATCTGCTCTGAGAACATAAAAAGCCAATAGGAGTAGATCTAGTACATTAGTACGTTATTTCCACTGAAGTAGAAAGGACTCAATTATCCAAGCATGGAGTAGACAAAGCCAAATTGGTTCCATTGACACCCGTAAGTTGTCCAGCCAATGTGTACTGTATGATGTACTCATTGGCGTAGTTGACGACCTGGGCAGAGGGTGAGCTGATAGTCCCGTTGTCTCTGAGGACCTGCAACAAGGCAGCCACAGCGCCGGTCACAAACGGAGCTGCCATGGAGGTGCCACTCTTAGTAGTATATCTGTTGTTTCCAGAGAAGTCAGCAACTTTGATACTTTTACCCGGGGCGAAAAGGTCTACGCAAGGACCATAGTTGCTGAAGCTAGCCTTTGCAAAGTCGTCATTAAAGGCTCCGACAGTGAGGGCATTGGGAGTGCTAGCAGGAGAACGAGCACAAGCGTCTTTATTGGAATTACCAGCTGAAGAAATTGCGGGGATTCCCGCTTCGAGTAGATCATCGACTGCGTCGTTCAGAGAACTGGAGAACGGCGCCCCAAGACTGATGTTAATAACGGAAAGACGCCCATTGCTTTGCACTGTTTGCTTTACCCACAGACATCCATTCAATATATTGGAAATAGTGCATTGACCATTTGAACAAATCTTCAGGGAAATGATGTTAGCACGTTTTGCCACACCACAATTGATGCCCCCGATGATGCTGGCCACTTGAGTGCCATGACCATCGTCATCCACACTCGTAGATGTTGGCCATCCTGGAAAAAAGAATTGAAAAAAGTAATCAACCATCCATATGTGTTGAACCTAAAATGTCACTACAAAGAAGCAAGTGAAGTTGACACGCCGACTGTCACTTGGAACTCTAATTTTCTTCAAATATATGAAAAACAGACATTTGAGATGCATAATGGCAGTTGTATTGTAAGCAAATTTTATGACCTGTCACCTCCCCATTTCCATTCAAAATTAAGAGAATCCAGATTTCCCAATCTTCACAATGGAGAGATAACTTCACTATCCGAAGACAATTTTGGAATTCTTTGCAAACCTACTAATGTTAAATTATTGCATTATCTGTCGTTGCACTTAAGACTGCTCCTTTTTTTGCTTTGCTCTTTTGCAAACCAGGTGATGCTTTTTGCTGCAACGCTGCATGGAGACAATCTGACACAACTCACCAATGGTAACTCTCCCTGTGAAATCTTTGTGATTTGGATTGATGCCTGTGTCTGCCACATATACATCTATTTCCTCTCCATCGCCCCAGATTCGATATTTGGAATTGTGTAGATTGCCATCAAGAGTGTTCAACCCCTGCAAGTAGGGAAATATACAAAATACTAGCTTAGGCATATTGCAAAAAACAGATTCTTACATAAGGAATTTTCCCAAATGTGTGCAGTCAATGTATAGTCTTGCTAGAAAGTAAATATCAAAATACACCAAGTTGGACATTAATCATGTTTAACATAGAAAATGCTTCATCTAACCCACCCATTAGATATACGGGATAATATTAACGATCTCTTAAATTCCTGGACAGAATTCTGAGTTTGCAACTGCACTTGTCAATATCAAATTAAATGCACCCTTAACTTCAAATATTGCCCAGAAATATGACAATGATTATAAGACTTTAACTTTATAAGTATGTAAGCAATAGCCAAAACGATTCAAACATTTAGAAAAGTTTGTTGTCTTCGTAACGGAAAGTGAAATGCTTTGAGAAATCACAATAAACAACATTCTAAAAAATTATTAGAATGAAATTATATTTGGTCGATCATACCCATAGACCTCTTCTATTGGCATTATTTGGTAAAGTATACTCTCTGCAGTATTCAGTGTTTAGTTCTAACTTGACGTCCTGTTCGATTTCCGCAATGACATTGGTGAGTTGAAGCAAATCTTCGAGGTTGCTTAAAATATGGTTAAATAAACTCATAAAAACAGTCATGAATTTCAAGAAGGTATATGTATTTCCTTGCTGTTAGTAAAAACAAATATAGAATTATAAACTGATGACCAATGCGTATTTTAAATATTTCTTCCTTAAGAGCTTTGTTTTTTAACCCAAAGTATTATTTGATCGGTATTAAACAAAAATTTTAAAAATGTGTATAGGAACGGATGAAAAACAAACAGTTAAGAATGCGCTGTGTCCAACCTTTTACTTATGTTGCGCAGAATGACGAAATTCTTTTCTCTATTAAACTTAACTCGTTGTCTTCGTCCAGCTCCTTTGATGATTCTACGGACTAGATAAATAAAATTATGTTTCTTGTAAATGGTTTACATAACAAATCATTTAAGACAACAATAAAACAGAGATGTATCGGAATCCAAGCCCACATTAGAAAAAACAGCAAAGGCACCCAGAGAACACAGACCTTCGCCAGGACTAATAATGAACTAATAATCAACCATTGAATAATGGATGAATCATGACCAAAATCTTGTCACTTTTAAGTTAGCCCATTTTTGACCAACCCTTATTATTTCATCGAAATCCGTCCATACATTTGAGCGTTAAGTTGCTAATAAGCTAACAAACTAACGGAACCAAAAACATAACCTCCTGGACAGAGGTCATAAGCACAACGTGTGAGCTAGAAAAATGCCCCCTGCTAAGATTCTAAGTGAAAGCGCTGTGCGTCCCATCAGGCAAAAAAAAGTGGATCGCAAAATGAGCATTTTCATTTTACTGAACATTGTTTACGCAGCATAAAGCAAAAGTTTTACACGGACCAGCTTCATTATTATAAAATTTCCCATGCGTGCTTTCTTATAGCGTTTCAACCACAGCGGCGTTTGGTTTGAATTGACCATCAAAACCACAAATGCGAGACGACCTAAATGTCCTCACCCGTTTCCTTTCTGTATCCGATGAAGTAAAGTTAAAACAACNCAGTCTTGCTAGAAAGTAAATATCAAAATACACCAAGTTGGACATTAATCATGTTTAACATAGAAAATGCTTCATCTAACCCACCCATTAGATATACGGGATAATATTAACGATCTCTTAAATTCCTGGACAGAATTCTGAGTTTGCAACTGCACTTGTCAATATCAAATTAAATGCACCCTTAACTTCAAATATTGCCCAGAAATATGACAATGATTATAAGACTTTAACTTTATAAGTATGTAAGCAATAGCCAAAACGATTCAAACATTTAGAAAAGTTTGTTGTCTTCGTAACGGAAAGTGAAATGCTTTGAGAAATCACAATAAACAACATTCTAAAAAATTATTAGAATGAAATTATATTTGGTCGATCATACCCATAGACCTCTTCTATTGGCATTATTTGGTAAAGTATACTCTCTGCAGTATTCAGTGTTTAGTTCTAACTTGACGTCCTGTTCGATTTCCGCAATGACATTGGTGAGTTGAAGCAAATCTTCGAGGTTGCTTAAAATATGGTTAAATAAACTCATAAAAACAGTCATGAAATTCAAGAAGGTATATGTATTTCCTTGGTGTTAGAAAAAACAAATATATAATTATTAACTGATGACCAATGCGTATTTTAAATATTTCTTCCTTAAGAGCTTTGTTTTTTAACCCAAAGTATTATTTGATCGGTATTAAACAAAATTTTTTAAATGTGTATAGGAACGGATGAAAAACATACAGTTAAGAATGCGCTGTGTCCAACCTTTTACTTATGTTGCGCAGAATGACGAAATCCTTTTCTCTATTAAACTTAACTCGTTGTCTTCGTCCAGCTCCTTTGATGATTCTACGGACTAGATATAAAATTATGTTTCTTGTAAATGGTTTACATAACAAATCCATTTAAGACAACAATAAAGCAGAGATGTATCGGAATCCAAGCCCACATTAGAAAAAACAAAGTCAAAGGCACCCAGAGAACACAGACCTTCGCCAGGACTAATAATTAACTAATAATCAACCATTGAATGATGGATGAATCATGACCAAAATCTTGTCACTTTTAAGTTAGCCCATTTTTGACCAACCCTTATTATTTCATCGAAATCCGTCCATACATTTGAGCGTTAAGATGCTAATAAGCTACCAAATTAACGGAACCAAAAACATAACCTCCTTGACAGAGGTCATAAGCACAATGTGTGAGCTGGAAAAGTGCCCCCTGCTAAGATTCTAAGTGAAAGCGCTGTGCGTGCCATCAGGCAAAAAAATTGATCACAAAATGAGCATTTTTATTTTACTGAACATTGTTTACGCAGCAAAAAGCAAAATTTTCAGAACATACACGGACCAGCTTCATTATTATAAAATTTCCCACGAGTGCTTTCTTGTAGCGTTTCAACCACAGCGGCGTTTGGTTTGAATTGGCCATCAAAACCACAAATGCTAGACGACCTAAATGTCCTCACCCGTTTCCTTTCTGTATCCGATGCAGTAAAGTTAAAACAACATTCATCGATAGAAATATACAGATATAAACATAGGAAACATAGGGGCTGGAACACGTAGATCGAAAAGCAAACGGTAGTAAATTTCATTAGCAAAGGATATACAAGCAGATAGATACGTTTACTTACTTTGACCGTATTTTGCACCAGGCAAAAGTCGAGCTACGTATTGTCCTGGTATCCCAGACCCGTTAGTGTACTCAATAAGGGGCACTGAGGGAGATATGAATGAGAGTAACTCGCCCATTGTTAAAATATTCCTTTGCAATTTAATTTGGTAAGTTTAAACCAACACCATATAACATCTTATTGAATTATATGCTTCTCTTTGGTCACTTACAATGCTCTATAATTCAAAGCGCATCAACTAATCTTGGTCATGTATGATTTCTTCATCTTGTGGTATTATTCAAATTTCTTTTTCACTACACTTGACATATTTATATTCTTAAGCATTTAAATTGTCAAGTGTTTAAAAAACACATCACCAATCAAATGATCAAATCTTTAAAATGCCGATTCATCAGTTGTCTTTCCTTCATGCATCGACAGAAAATCGATGTAATTTAACAAACAGAGCATGAGCAACGTGGGACGTTTATTATATATTTCTTCCATAATGTCATGTATTATAAACTCAAATGCCTCGCATTTAAAAATCAAAGACTCCATATTTTGTGCAGTTAATCAACCATTCCACTTGCCTAAGCCTTGTTGTTCTGACACTCTCAATACACCAGCCTCTTGCAACTTTTTTCGAATGGCTTCGTGATCTCCCTTTCTCCTCGGCGGTGCCTCGGTTGCGTCTCTTTGCACCATGTTGTTCACCTGCTCTCCACTCTGATATGCAATTGTTATTGCAAACAGCCCGAAAACCAAAATACCCACCAGAGTAGATGACTGCATACTTCTATGAACAATTATTTCAATTATTAAAATGGAAAAAACTTATTTCAGTCTTTCAGATAATAGAACAATTATTATTATTTCTAATAATAGGATGACAATAGTATGTTTTTCATAAAGTGCGGGTTCTTCATAATAATTGCCACTTAATAATTGCCATAATAAAATAATCCAATTACTATACACCGGTAAAATGGAATTATTATTATTATTAAAGTCCAGCTGAATCTCAGAACTTACACTTAACTAAAACACAATCGGATCCAGAGATTTGGAAGGGGTGGACACAGGGCAGAAGAATATACACTTTACTCCTCTGTGCTCGGTATCAAACAGTTAACAAGTTAAGATATGCTACACAGGGATTGTAAACTGCTTGGTTTTGACTCGAGTTTCTCGTTGTACTGTTTTTAGGAGACAAAAAGATGAAGGAGGGATATCAGAAGTGAATATCTTGGGAGAGAATAGTGTCTTAGACAATATTACAGGGGTACAGTAAAATTAAATACGCACTATTGTACAAGACAAGACAGAACCTAAAAAAACGACCAGTAAAATACCTGTAAAATTCGATAGATTTTATTCGTTTCACATTGCACTAGCTGATTCCCATTTGCATCTCAAATTTTCATGAGATGACTGATTACATGCTGAGGTTATTGGAGACCATTTGTTAGATTTTCAACATAAATGAGAACGGCGTAGTTTGAACGTTTTAACACATCTGTTTATAATTGATCCCTATTTTTTAGTGTTTTTCCTGCTATAAGTTAAGTTTGTCTGCAAGCCTCACTCACAGTGTGTTTTCTGCATGATGAGGGTATTTGGCACCTACCGGTAGGAATATGGATAATGTGCTATTATAGTTACTGGAAACATCTTTTTACTTTCAGCTCTGCCAAGGATATTTTCAGTGTACTGGCCTTTAAGAGCAAGATTTTCCAACCACAAGACGAATCGGTCAAATAGTGGCAAGGTTGTGTTCACACAGAATACACCCATTTTGCTCACACTTAAATCATCTTTGTGACCTTATTATTACTGTAAAATATTAAAGCTTTCCGTTGCCTTTTTATCAAGACACAGCCACAAGCACATTTCACTGCCCCGCGTGGGCTCCCGTCTCATTTTTTAACTGTGTAAGTAGTGTATTTTTCCACGAAGTTTGCTGTACAAATGTGCATGAAGTGATCAATGCATTACTTCCACCAATACTACAATTGAAAGATGGATACATAATCTTCATATCAGCAGAGTTATATCATAATTCTGTTGCTATGGTTACAAACTTCCGAAGTTATTTAAGGTCACTTGATGACTGCCACAGATATCCATCCTATCAATAGCCTTATATCTCCACTAGTAGAGCACCTTAGATATTATCACTGATATTTACTGAAAGTATGGACAAGGGGCCTAACATAAATTAAAAGAATGTAGTGGCCTTTTTTCTAAAAATTCCTACAACAGTGACGCAAATTCTTTTATTTTCCAGCTACATCATCATTAAACATAATCGCTTCTCACTGTTTCAATTTGTAGTTAAGACTGCGGTGGCAGATTTAGGAGGGGTTTCAGGAAGGTCCTGTAAACCCCCCCCCCCCAATCAATTTCTGAAAATCACACCAATGGCCTACTCTTCAATTTAAAATTTTGACTAGCTGAATCATAGTTCTAAATCATACCAAATGGCACCATTCACCTTCTAAAATACCAAAAATTTCGGGGCCCTCTTGCGTTGGTGGGGGGGGGGGAGGGGGGGGCAGGCGGCTTCACAACTGTGGCCACCCCCCCCCCCCCCCCACCC